GAAAGTTTTTTGTCTCCATCATGGCCGGCAGTTAAATTTAATTACACTGCCCGAAAACGCTGACCTCCTACTGGCTACCCCCCCATTCTCAATGGCCTGTAACCGGAGTCACAGGAGGAGCCGCTCGCTGGCCGTAGGCCGCCGCTAATGATGTGTGGAGCTGTTCATTAGGAGTGCCCGGGGACGTGACCATCGGGGCCATCCATTATCCCGATAGAGAGCCTGAAAGAGGAACTCGAAACAACAACTTCCCGCACTTTGTTGAAACTTAATAACTTTGGTCGGGAGCAACTCGAAGCCGGCTTAGCCACCTCGGACAGAAGTTGCTCATTTCCGGCGGATGTGATTCGCATTGTCCACGGGCCATACCACAAAGTTGCACAAGTAAATTAATGCAGGCTGCGTGCCACCTCCCGGCGAGCGCCATTAAGAATACTTTTTAATGTCAGGGGCATTTGCATTTAAACGATCTCAGCTTCTGTCCACCGAACCGTTCACCGAAAAGGCATTAACAACAACGTTTTTGTCGTTTAGGGATGCGCAGTTATAAAAATTTATTGCGTTCCGATTTGCTTTCCATTGGCATTCGACCGTTTTTGGTGGAATGTGACGTTGGCCGAAAGGATTGTCGCGTGCCGACGTGCAACTGAGCAGGTAGGCCATGGCCATGGCTAAAGCTACCCAACCAGCCACCGGATGGAGATGTGATCAATGGGATAATGGGATATTATTGGATAGATTGGTTCTGGCACAAATATAGGAATGTATTTCATAGCTCAAATATAAATATTTCGTCATAATCACACTTGTTGCTGAGGCTCTTATTTTTGTACGAAATAATCTCCATAATAAATAGAACTCTAATTTGATTTTTACGATAGCAAAACAATTTAAAATATGCATCTGCTATCCCACTTTAGCTGAGTGTTTGTATAAAAACAAATTTAACAGAAAAACATTACTTGGTCTGGTTGGATTCAACTTGAGTCATCAATTAGAGGCAGATCTTTGCTGCCTGGGAGTCTAATGGCATAAATCAACAGAGAATATACCGGTCTCCCGGGGCGCTTCAGGGTGCCAAAAGGGGGAATTATCACTTGCAACGACTGTGTGTGTGTGTGTGTATATGCTCTCCTCGCCAAATTCAATTCGAGCATAATTAATGCAGAGTGAGCGCCTCAACTTGTTAATTATGCAGGCAGACAAATGCCATATCTGACCAGCTGACTGAACCTGAATCCGAGCCGCAATTAATGTGAATTTTCATGGTGACTTTCGAGTGTAATATTTGCACAGAACAAACTAGGGATGAGGGAATATTTTAAAAAATCTTTAAGTTAGTTCGTATTGAAAAAGTAAGAATTTCGTTGGTCTAAGATATGTCAAATATAAGGCTAAAAATGTATATATTTGATAATGAAAATATTAATATTTAATATGTAATTTTCTAAAACGAATAAAGATGTATAAAATACACAATTTACCTTTATTGATTTTAAATAAATCTTAAATTAATCAAAATAATAACAAAAAATACAATTTCTCTCAGTTTCCATCAATTTTTATATCAAAATTTCTCACTCTCCATCCATACAATATTATTTTGTCATTCCTAGTTCCATCGTCACCTCTGCCTTTTCCCCTGATTCCCTCTCTCATCACGTGCTGGCCCTGAATCATGCCTCGACACTCGGTTCTATTTTGGTATTATGTAAAATTCTGAAATATACTTATAATAATTTCTTATTTTGGGGAGGATGAAGCAGCGAATGGCCGATGCGGAAGGGGGGCACAATCCACTCTGATCCACTTCGAAAAGAACTAATCCAACTCGGGGAAAACTGTGAATGCAATATTAAAGTTTATTCGCTCTGGCAAATGAAAAAGGACGACGTCCTCTGATCAATGCAAATTTAATGCAATTGGAATATGTTTCCAGCAACCGGGGGAGGTCCCTGGGTTTCGTTTTCATTTATCCAATAGCCCCGCAACTGTTGCACGAATCCTTCGTCAATTCATGGCAGGATAAATGTAATTGAGGGGTTACAACAATATGACTGGGGAACCATACGAGGACAATGCGATGGCGATTGCCGGATGAAAGGACATGGGTGTGGAGCATCGAATAATAATGCGAGGGCACAGAGAGAAATTTTAAGAAAAATGAAATTTAATATTTAATATAAATTTAATATACAACAAAACAAGAAGATACTAAGAAACAAATATTTTATAGCTTTTAAAAATAATATATTTGTTCTTGGGTATCTCTTTTAATATATCCCCAACTTACAACTCCTTCAACTATTATAGTTCTCTTATTTTCCTCAGTGAACCCACTAAAGTCTCCACAAGAAGCGCTAAATTGGCCGCCAATTGGAGTCCACTCAAGGGCTCTTGGCTTCACTTCACTGCTCGCCGGTTCAGTTGAGTTCACATCACTCGGACGTTTTATCATCAGGTTGTAAAAGCCCTCCATAAAGGCTGCCATTAAATGGCCAAGTGATGTCAACATTAGGAGGGACACGCCCACACCCGAACACCGCCCGTCCGCTCACACGTGGGTCGAACTCATCCACTGGGATTTGCAATATGTCGCCAGCATATTCATCACCTCTGGCCACCCCCTCTGGCGGCGGCGCAACACCCCGTTTTGACATGGGGCCCTGTCAAAATATTGACAATTGGTCTTTAGTTGGCGTGAAGGTCGACTGCACATTAACTGCAGGCACTTTCAAGGACACACGAGTTACAGGCTTTCTTAACGTTAGGGGCGTGGCCGTGTATCCGTAAATCTGCGACACTTTCGGGCCACGTCTTTCGGGCCCAGTTTGCTGGGGGAATTAGCGTGCGATTATCTTCTAATTGAATGTTAATTCCCAGCCGCAACCCACTTACGCTCATATATATACATAATCCCGCTAAAATCGGTGAGTGTTTGCCACTGCGTGACTTACTTTAAATTCGGATAATCGAATTGAAATCAGATTTGGCCTGTTGACTTTGCTCGGTGTTGTTGTGTGTGGAAATCGCCAGCGTCGCGGTTTTGGATTTTGGCAAGTGCTGAGAGCTTATTGATGCGGCTGCTGCTGTCCCCCGAATATTTATAGAAGCAATTGGGGTGCCAGGCGGTGCCAGGCAGGAGGACTAAGAGGAGGCCAATGAATCTATCTCTGGCTATGACTTTCTTGACTCACTGCACACGTTTCCCAGCGGGATAAAGGGTTGTCCAGGGAAAAGGTAGCGAGTCAAATAGAGGGAGCCACAGGGAGCCTAAGGCCAGTGAAACGTGCCAGAAATATACACTTGGCTACACTGAAAGTTATTTGTGTTGTACAGGATATTACAAGATGGAAATTTATAAATAAATACATGCTAAATAATGGAATGAAATGTTTGGTTTTTTTTTTAGAATTTTACAGAGTTTACTAGGGGAATTTTAAGTCAGATTTTGAGTTTATTTATGTTCAAGGCGCTTATTGATTCCATTATTATTATTATGTTTATTAAAATCTGTAAAAGTTGATCAACAATATACAACTTCTGTATAAACAAAAAGCTAATTACAAATTCAGATCCAACCATCATTAAAGTTATCAGTGTTGTATTATTACTAGATATGTATATAGATTTTTATTAGATTTAGATATTAATTTGTATGAATTTTTATTAGACATTTATAATATTTTGGCTCTGTTCAAACATTAACCCTCCATTAACCACCCAGAATTCAATTTAAATAAATGACAAAGCTAATGGGCACTACCATTTTTGAACAGCATTATTGTGCTTGTAATATTTATCGCTTCATCGAAATGAAACTGGGTAATTTGCCTCCCTGGTGGCTGATGAGGCCAGTTCATTGGACCAGCTTAAGTTTTGTGATAAGGAAGGCGCGTCGCAATCAAACAGCCTGTTGAAACCAGGGAAACCCCGAGAACATATCAGCATACTGTTTGTATTTAATAATAAATAAATTCACTCGATATTTGCATCACACACATGCGTGCCTCTTGTTTGCACTATTGCAAATTGAGATTCAAGTGAAAGTTTCTCGAAAGGGGTGCGATTATCGTGGGGCTGCTCCTTCAAGTGCATTCAGCATTGTGGGGGCATTGTGTCTTATGCCATTCCGAATGCAATTGTCGGCATTTGGAGGCTTAACCGGAAACTTTTAATTTAATTAATTTATACACAAAGGCGCAATCAAGAGCACCGGCGACTGGCAGAGGTCGCGGCAGTGCGAAGGGCGTGGGGGAATCGCTGAGGAGACCATGCGAATTGCGGTTACAAGCGCCGTGTGCATCTGATAGATAGATAGATATAGTACCATATAGTATAGTACCTCCCCGTTGCGATAAAGCAAGCGCTTTTGATGTTCACTCGCTCGGTTCTGTTCAGTTCAGTTCGGTTCGGTTCGGTTCATTTAGCTTTATTTTCTTTTGTTTCGCTTCGCAGGTTATTCCAAAATAAAATCAGCCATAATTCAGAGGCTGCAAACTATAAGATGCACGTTTCTCAAAATGTTGTCTTTTTTGGATTTTGGGGTATTAGTCAGTGGGAGGGCAACAGGTGAACTTTGTTTATTGATGCACTCATTGCGCTAATTTGTTTGTTCAGGATGATTCAATGGACAGCCCGCTGACAGGGTCAAGGGTGACTAGGAATATACAGCCTGATGTATATAGCTGTACTAGATAAATGGCCAAATGGTAGGCGGAAGTGTTGGCCATCAATTAGCCAATCAGCAGGACATGCGATACGAGCAACAGGTGGAAGGCAACAGGGCAAATATTTAGTTGGTCCAAATTTTATGGTTTTCTTTTCAGTTAATTTCTGCGGTCAGCATAAACATAAGAGTCTGAATTTTATTGATTTTTTTTCGGGAGTCTAGCATATGTTGTTCGCATAAATAAATATTTAGGCATAAACAATTAATTATTTAGAGCGGCCAGCGGAGCACAGTGCAAATTGTTTGGGCCAACACACAATGTAGTTACCTGGAATTGGACGAGGATCGATGAGAGTGTGAGAAGGAGGAGCCACAGGTAGCAGTTGCGAATCCAATCCGAGGTTCCAATCACCTGTTCGGCCTCCGATATCTCTTCAAATTATTTCGACCGCCGAGATGCTAATTAAATTGACACTTTTTTCGGTTCGCCATAAAAGAGCGGATGGAAAACTTTTATTTCTTATTTATTTTTTATTTAGTTTGGCATTTCATTGAGACAAAGCACACACAACACTAGCACTCCACTCGCATATCGGTTCGCACTGGATTTTAATTTGTTTATTAATTTTTGTATGGCACCCGAGGGAGAAACTTAATTCAAATTCGATGTTCGATTCGATTTCGATTCCGTTTCGAGTCTGCGATTTCGAGGGCGGATCTGCGGATGTGCGGAATTCCACCGAGCTGGCCAACGCTCGACGGCAAAATGCGCGAACGCTTCGCACGGACCAAGGCAAGGCGGCTTCGCCTACGGGTTCGGCTCGGGGTCTTTGGGTTCGGGTCGCCAAGCCCCCGAACCTCCCACCACGGACGCCTGTTGAGTGTGGTGGGTGGAAAGGCCTGGTGAATTGTGGTGAGTTTTGGGCCGGCAGTTCTACGGCTTTCCCTTCTCCGTCCGGAAATAATCATAAAATGGCTAAAATAAAATATGCCCGCTTTTATTCTTATGACTTATGGTCGCCGCCGAGATTGTGCTTCTATTTTTTTCCGTTTCTGACCTCTGTAAAATTTTCTGTAGGATTCCAGGGACATGTACAATGGGGGAGAAATTAATAGAAATATTATAATAAAATTTATATTTGATCAAAAATATTTATTTTAAAATTGTAGAAGTTCTCTAAACTGATTTAGTGACTTAATTTAAGTCTGGTTGCTTAAAAATATATTAAATAAATAAATACAAATTTAAATTTACATTTTAAAAGTAATTTAAATTAGGAACCCCTTGAAAAACCTAGCTTCTACAAGTGTTTCTATTTTCCTCAACCCAACTTTCTCTACAATTGAGACGTAAACCGAAATGCGTGATAAATATTTTCCGGGCACTTTCGGTTCTTTGACCAACAAATGAATTTGACTGCCCGCAAGAATTGACGATGCTCTCAATCAATCGATTCATTGAAATTGATGGCCAGCTGGTTGATCCTTGGCATCGGCGGGGTGGTGAAGGGAACGCGAACGGCACTTCAGGCAGTTCCAGGCGGATGTGCCCAAGAGCACGCAACCCCCAAAAAATAATCGTTTGGCCAAAAATCAATTTGTGCGACTTTGTTGCTTTATGGTCTGTCATCTCTATAAACCCCCTGGCCCGCCCTCGGCATCCCTGGGCTTCCATCAGCGGCCGCTTGTTAGCAGTTCATCAAATTTGTTTGCCGCATATTAATTGCCCGTTGTTATTATTGTTATTGTGGCCGCAGCCACTTCGCTACTGTTCCGCGAAGTGCGATCGTATTGTTCGAGTATTGTTATTAATGCCCCCCCCTGCCGCCTCTCTCATCAGAATCGGCGGGAATATATCGCTTTATTGACATTTGGCGCACGTGACCAGCGTGCAGAGATGTTTGTCTACTGCTAAGCAAATAGTCACTGCTTTTAATGTGCAAACAAACCCAGGGAAGAGCAGTATCTGCCATGCTTGCTGCAGCCCATGCGGCGTATACGTTATAAAATCGAAAAATCTAAGATACCGTAGATATCGCCCAAGTGGACAGTCGTTTCTCGTATGCAAATATCACTTTGGTGGTTACTTTTTTAGAATTTTTTAAAGCTACTTGTTATTTGTAGTCGTCCCATAATTCAGAAGTAAAGATGTAATTATGAGATTTTTTTTAGGTGATTTGTTAACGTCCCATAAATCTGATGAAAAGTTGTCTATATTATAAATAATTGTTTATTTTAAATTGGGATTTCCAAGTAAAATAAATTCTGTATTTTTATGAATAATTAACTTCTAGTTAAACTTAAAAAATCTTGTATTTTAAGCTATTTGTAATTAAAATAAATTGTAAATAATTAAAATAAAAATAAATAAATTAAAATAAAACATTGCCAAGTCTAATAACGCTGCTGCACCTGATTCCTTTTAAAAATATATTTTAAAATTAAAGTACATAAAAGAATAAATAAAACTCATTACAAGATAGATTTTAAAACTCAACTTTACCCTTATTTATTCTTTTGAATTCAGAACTAACTGAAATCACTTGCTGCTTCTGTAAATATTTCCCTCATAACCAATGCTTACTGTAATCGCTTCCACTAGTCACTGGCCGGATTTGTCAGATTTAAACGCACCCACTGACTTAAGCATATGCCCCACGTGCTGGCCATTCGGTGTCCATTGGCACGTCCCTGCTGCGATCCATAAGGAGATTTGCCTGCAATCGCTTCAAAAGACGTCAAATCGCACAATTTACGGCATCAAATTTAATTGCTTTTGAATTTTTAGAATTTCAAAAAGTCTGTGCGAGGGAAATGGGCAACGGAAGGAAAGAGACGGAGGAATCAAATAAAAATATTGCTCAGTGCAGCTTTCACCACATGTTTGTGTGGTGAAAAATATCTGAAAAATAGTGGTTGGTGTCCAGGCTAGCTATCCGTCAGATAGCTTTTGTATCTTTGTTGAATTTCATTGGCTTAAAAAGTATCTTTATCTAGCTTTATAAAATATAAGTGTCTTAGGAACGATCCGTTAATGTATGTTATAGGAAAATTCTAATTTTTGGAAACTTCAAAACTTAAAAAATCTATAACTTAGTCAAAAATGCTTTAAATTCAATTCAGATTGCTTTTTTAAGTTAGTTTTTATAAGGTTTATAAATCTGCATACTAAATTTAGGTTTTTTTAAAATTCAATTTTTAGCCAATTTTTGAGAATTTTAATGATGGTACCCCTTATCAAATTTTGAAAAAAAAAAAAAAAATATGGACAAGAATATATATGATTTATAGGGTCGGAAATGACTTCTTCATTGCTTTACTAGCTTCTAATTGAAATTATAGTACCCTGAAAAGGTAATACCCTTGATATTTATTTTAAAGATGCATCTCTTAGTTTGGTACTTTCGCAGGTTGATTATTAATTTAAAATGTTGCACATTTTAGTTCAACCTAGAATTTATATAAAGTAATTTCCTTATTTCTGCCTATGTAAACAAACTATAAGGCAGGCTTCACCCCAAAAAACCATATGTTAACCACTCGGCTCCAAATCGTCTCGGTTATGTAGCAGCAACAGTAATGTGATATAAGCTCCTCTCCCCTCCGAAAATTGCAGGCACATTCAATGAATTCTACAGAGTAGAGAAACGGAGATAAGCAGCAATAAATACTGAAGGAAGGGGAGACTCGAGCACGGGTGCAAAACGTTTATTAATTGTCACAATTTATACACTGGAAAAAAGCCTTACAATTTTGAAGTAATTAAATATTTTTGCACAAAAGAATTCAAAGGAATTACTAGTCTTTCGATTTGAAATAAACTTATCTGTGATATTTTTATTAAATTTTTTTTTGAATTTTAATTTTTTTTTATAGAAATTTATTTTGTATTTATATAAAAAGTATATAGGCAAGTTTTCTTGTCGTGTATGGGAACCAAAGTTGCGAGTCGGAAACGGTATGCACTTGGCTGCACTCCCCAGCCATGCACTTTGAGTATTCGGTTACTTCGCGGGTCCCCAACAATATCCCCTATTGAAAGTGCAGTTTTTAACTTTGTATATTTTTTTTTGCCAGCCATATCCATATCCATATCATATCTGGATGGCATTTACATATGGACATTTTGAGCCCCACAAGCGCACACTAAGCACATTTTAATTAAGACGCAGCGCCAGTTTGCCTCGGCTTCTGATCAGTTTCGGGTTCTGAGCGCTGAGTTCCGAGTTCTGGGCTGTGGGTTCTGGTATTCAGTCTTGAACTAGGCGCGCCTGCGAAAGATGTGCGCCGGGGAGCGGCGGCTCCACCGATCTAAGTAATCCAGGGCCTCGGAGATAAGCTGATAGATACCTCGACATCATGTGCTGTTGGTGTGCACGTGTCTATTGGACGGTTCTGCATAATCTGCTGCTCCGGATGCTGGACAGTCTGATGGAGTTGCGGCTGAGATCGATGGTCATGTGCGGCTGTTGTGCCGGTTATCAGCGACAGGCCGGCGAAGGCGAAGGTGACGTTGCCGCTGTGGAACGGGTTTCCAGCACTGATGACGATCAGCGCCAGCAAGATTACGTCATTGTGGGTGAGTTCTAGCCGATCGAGATCTCTCTCGCCGATCACTTTCAAAACAATAAACATTCAGGCAACAGCTGAGAGTTGACAAAGGAAAAACGTTTCTTAAACGGTTATTACTTGTACCTTTAAGATATTTTAATGATTTCTTATCCTTTTAGAAGATGATGATGCCACCTACACGGAGATCGAGGAGCGGCATGTGGAAACGGAGCAGTACTACTTCACCGTGGATCGAGCCACTGCGGAACGAATGCTCCAAGGCAGGGAGGATGGCTCCTGCCTGGTTCGTCCCTTCAAGGCAGCCGATCAGTGCATCCGTTACATAGTCAGCATTTGGGCCTCGGACCAGTACTACCACCTGTTTGTCCGACAGCTGGACAGGAGACAGCGCTATGCCATTGGCCAGCGAAAGTCCGGAGAGCGGTACTTCGGTTCCCCCTCCGAAATAGTGGAATTTTACTCGGAACACCCGCTGCTGTGCACCAACAAGAGCGTGAGCCAGTGCATCCGTCTAAGTCCCATTAGTTACGCTTAGTTTGGGTCACAAAAACTTCAGGAGTTTAGGGGTTAAATCTTTATTGGGTAAGAGACGCGGGAGTATGTACAAATAGAGTTAATCTGGATCCTCAGGTGGCCACCACCGCCTTGAAGGCACATTGATTGTTCTGCATCAAAGCGGGCCAAAGGAAGGCCTTGATCAGATCCGAACGCCGGTCCGCTTGGGGATGCCGCTCGTGTTTCTCGGGACGTAGAAAACCTAGGATTAAGTTTGATATTTAGCCATAAGCTTAGGTTTAAAATACCATCAAACACCCACCGAGGTTAAAGTCCATGTCCAGGTAGTAGGGCGACTTCTGGTTGATCATCCGCCACGCCAGACGCACACAGGCACTGACGTAGTGCGTCAGCGGGGGACAGGACTCCAGGCAGGGGTACTCGTGCAGCGTGGATAGCACCTGGTTGAACACCGATCGCTCGATCTCGCCCAGAGGAAAGCTATCGGCGGTCTCATGGAGATGCTGGCGCACGGATCTGTCCAGGGCCAAGGTGGTCTCACTACTGCCCTCCAAAGAGCAGTTCAAGACGCGTCGCACCTCTAGCACCTTGCGCTCCCGCATACCGTGGCACAGGCGGAAGGAGAGCTAAGTGGGGAAAATGTACAATGATTTCCAGGAAATAATTGAATTAAAGTGATCTTAAAGAATATATAAAATGTGTTTCTCTAATTCCCAAGTAATGTTTTATAATTAAATATTTGTACATCATTGCATTTATATCTCTTTACTGTCAAAATTGAGATATTTTAGTCATCTTTGCCCAAGTTTTCTTTACTTTTCTTTTCTGGGAAAGTGTCATTCATCTCTCCGATCGAAAGTGGTTCGATCAGCTATAATCTCAAGTGCCTACGTAATTTCTGGCACCCTGCGGCGCTCCACTTTCCCTCGCTTTTCGCTTCCACAACGCCTAATCATCCTCTAAGCGCGATTGCGATCTGGCCAAAATTGATATTTTGCAACGGCAATTTGCGGTCTGACAGGATCTGAAGCTTCATGGCCCACGGCTTTGGTCTTGGTAATTGATGGCCAAGCACTTGAAAATTGAAAGTAATCTTTTGTGGGCTGCCTTGATCTAACTTTAACAGTAAAAATACAAATTCTTTTTACATGATTTATTGTCAGTAGTCTCAAGAATAGGCATTCTTTGAACTCATTTGCATAAAGGGTCGTGTAGAGAAATTTTTGCATTGAAATAGTGACAGCTATAGAATTGCTAAATGGTTATAACACGCGATTGTCCCATTTAAAAACCATAAGATTTAAACTTCTTTATGACCAAAGCTTCTTTAACTTAAATAGCCATTGAAAACACCTGACAAACTTGACAGGAAATTGGCACTAATAGCCTAATAAATGAAACCCATTTTTCCAAAATGAATATTACAAAGACACCTCTTCTCTTGTCAAGAAATTTACAATATTTTCTCTAGTTTTGATTTGATCTTAAAATATTTTTTAAAGGCCTATCCCCAACTTCATTCAATAAACTCACAACACAAATAAAAATCAAACTCATAAAAACCCTATAATTGACATAAAAAATGTTTTTGAGACACACCCAATTAGAAATTTATTAATCTTCGCAAGACAAGAGAAAAGATTGTCTGACATGCAATTGGCACTAATTTCTCCCGATCGAGTTAATCTCGAAATGTTTTTCGGTTCATTATGTAGGCCTCGGGCCGTAGATCTCATCTTGAACCTCAAGTAACTCGGACTCACCACAATCATCGAGAAGAGTATCTTCCCCTTGAGGCTGTGCGCATGTTTTATCTGCGGCAGACTGTCCAACGCCTCCAGTGCGTCCGCTCGGTTCTCGACGTAGAGACTCCGATAGAGCGACACCATTTCGCTGTGGAGAAAAGTGAGAGAAACATATATGAGAATTGAAAAGTGAGAGATGAGAAGCCAAAGATGAGGAACAGATTGGAACGTGGGATGCCAGCAAGTGAGAGTTGGCTGCGGTCTCGAGTTATTTTTTTTTGGCTGAGACTATGATGTGGGTGTTCCACCTTGTTCAAAGCAGGTCAAGTGTTAGAACCAGGTTTTGGGAATGATAATTGGGTTTGTAAACAGTCTTGTTAAACATGAAATATAAATCTTGAAACATAAATCAATTGCTCACCTCCCATCATCACTGCCCGAATCATCAGAGTGATAGCCATCGCTGCAGCTGCTTCCACTGGCTCCTCCCGGTGGCGTGGCCTTGCCCATGGATATTGAACCAGACAGTGAGCCTGGTGGGCCACCCTCGGGACCCATCATATGGAGCACCACCTCGCAGCCGCGGGAGAAGTTCATCAGTAGGCCGGCCGCAGGACGCTTCTCTACCAGAGCCTGTGAATCCAAGCGACGCACTTGACCCACGCAGGACAACACCTCCTTGTCATTCTCCACTCGCGTGCTCAAGTTCTCCACCAGCGTGTGGAGCTGCTTCAGCGCCGGCTTATCCAGCATCGTGAGCAGGGTCTTGTTGTCAATCAGTCGCTGTTGGATGTCCCCGTAATTAATGGCCAATAGACGCTGGTGGGAGGAGTGGGCAGGATCCTGGTTCACAGTCACCATGCTCAGCTCCTCCAACTTGTGAATGGCCATCTTGTAGGTGTCGACATGGCGCTGCAACTCCGTTTTTAGAGCCACATGCAGGGATATGAGCTGGCCAGAGGCATCGGTGGTGAGTCCATGGACTCCGAGACCCTGCACTGCATTGTCAAAGCTTCGCCGGCGATCTCTTACAGTTTGCCGGAGAGCGGGCTCATACTGGGCCAGAGCCTGGAGCAGTCGAGTGCAGCGCTGACGCAGCCCAGATTCGTGGGGATTGGCAAACAGGCGCACCAGCTGCCAGGCCACGGTTTCGCTGGGCACCTCCGGCTTGGGAGTGGTGTTCAGGGTGGTTAATCTGGAGGGAGAGAATAAGATTCAAGGATAAGAAAAAGGGGAAAAAGAGCATTCCCAGAGTAGAAAATATTCCCTGTTATCTTACCTGGTAAAAAACGACTCCAGCAAATAGGCACTGTGAGGCAGATGCTCCAGCAGGAGATCCAAAGGCAGCTCGGCTATAACAGATCTTAGAACCGAGGGACCCAATCGCCCCACCACTCCGGCAGCCTCTCTGTACTGCCTGCCCTCCGAGAGGAGCATCAGGCGGCGTAGGACCTGCCTGGGACTAGTGAGGAACTCCCGGCCATCCCGCGAAGGTCCCCTAATCCGTTCCCTGCTGTCCGCCATGGAAGCACTGCAAATAGACAAGGGCGGCGATGGCTGGATGCCCTGCGAAAGGAGGATGGCGTCCTGGTGGTTCTTCAGCAAGATCTGCTTCCTGCAGGTTACTCGGGTTACACAGTTTACTCGGTTGTGGGTTAATGGAATGGCTTTGTACAGATGCAGATGCAAATGCGGATGCGAAGACTGAGAGATGCAGATGCGGATGCGGAGACTGAGAGATGCAGATGCGGGTTCAGTGGGACTGCTTACAGCATATTGGGCGTGGGCTCCATGGCTATGCGGGGCTCTATGTGGGCTCCAGTCACCAGTCAGTGGGGGAGTTTGGGGTCTGAAAAAAAAAACAGCCAGACACAATGCCACGATTAATAACAAATAGGAAATCTCTTTGGCAAGAATTCGCGCACAAAACAATTGCACTTTCACCGCAGCAACAACACCATCATAAGTTAAGGCGCCACGCATAGCCCGAGATATCTATGTGTATAGATACAATGCCACAGGTTGGTGGGAGCTTCCAACTCAGAAATGACAACTAGGAAAATGTTTTTAAAAAGGCAGCTTTCCTTAGAGGCCCCGCCACGTATTTCAGCTATTTCTTGGGGCCCTAAGAAAATGCCTTTTAAACATAATGCTTTTCCATTAATGTTTGGGGGAAACAAATAAATAAACAAAGTTTAAAAGAAATTTTAAGTTGGATGTCTGGACACCTGCAGGGTTATTGCCTCCCCTCGGAATCCGGGAAATGGACACTAGAGCAACCAACCCGAACCGAAAAGAGCGGACCGTGTTTGTCTTCCCGAGAATCGAGCGGAGGAGCACATAAAATATTTACCAACCAGCCGAAAAGCGCAGAAAAGCAGCCGACCACAGCGGCGATTAGGTATATAGAACTACTCATATGTCTGCAGAGAGAGAAAATACCTATACAATATTGATAATTTAAACTCTTAAAGTTATAAAATTAATAATTAATTTTATATGATATTTTTTAAAGAACCCTTTTCATTAGTTTTAAATATTTTTAAATTATTTCAAATATCTTCTTAGCTTGTTTTTTTGGAACTTTTTTCTTTAAGATCCATAACAATTATAAATATTAATGTATATTTCTATTTATAAACTTTAAATATATATTATGATTAAACACAACAATTTCTTTCTCTGCCTCTGTAATAGTTTTTCATTAAAAACTTCAATTAATAAAGCTTGTCCGAGTGTCTGCCCCTCTCTCCAAGTTGTACTTCCAGCTAAAAGGCCCCAGACTCGGAGCCGGAGGTGACAGTGACCCAACGCGGCAAAGGTCAGACGCCGTGCATTGCGGACCGGCTTAACGGACAGGTAGACGCCTTAATTGAAGGTAACCAAGTGCCTAAGTGCGCTTTGGCAATACTTGTAAGTGCCGTTACCGTTAGCCACAGGCAGCGGAAGGTGTGTCCGCTGGAAATGAATGCTCCACTGTACCACTGGGCGTGGCACTGTGGGAAAGAGATCAAATCTGCGTACGTGTTGCCAAAACAGCAGAAAGGATCAGCTCAGCCGGTGATCGCCGCAAATCGCAATCTTTCCCAGCGCATGCAACGTGCGAAATCCGAGAGATAAACAAAGATGCGCAGCATTCCGCTGAGCTCATGTGGCAAGTAACCGAGAATCCAAGAGAATCTCCAGACATGACGGACACAAAAGGGAAATGGTGATATTACCCGACAATTATGAGCACACGGGCGACAAATTGAAAGATGCCATCTGCTGGTGGTGGCTGGGAAAGCCATAGAAACGTGGCCATGACACTCGGGATGCGCTTCGTTGGCTCACATCAGAAACTCACATCGCACCACAACAAAAACCGAAATAAAAAAGGGCTAAGAGGGAAACCAGTGCGGTGTGTGTGTTATGTAAGCCGGTGACAAACGAGCGGGCGCTGAGAACGGAAGCCAAACTTGTCGCCGCAGAACGCCAGAACACCCGAGTGTATCTCTATCTGTGTATGAAGTATCTTCATCGCCATCCCTAGATGTATCTGTATCTGTATCTTTGGTCTCAGTTGGTTTAATGAACCCAGCGAAAATAGAAATGCGGCGATGTGAAATGATTTGTTGTGCTGGCCAGAAGACAAACATCAGGCTGCCGCTGCCCCGCCACTATTGTTATTACAGCAATTCGTTATGAAGTTGCTGGGCTCTGCGATAGTCCGTAGATTTTCGCAGGCCAACAAACTTCTAATTGCCGCGACCCCGTGCTCTGCTTGCAATCGAGAGAGGGGCCTTGATTTTGCCTCAATTTGATACCTCTTAAGGGTATATTGGGGAGAAATTTTGAAAGGTAATCCTGTATTACTTTAAAGTCTTAACAAAACCGTGACTAGAAAAAGAGGATTTTATAGAATTTATATAACATTTAGCAAGTTTTAAGGGATCTACTTTATTTTAGCTTAAAATACTTTTATTCTTTGCCATATAAAATGTGTTTTAGTACCAAGTATTCCCTAGTCTAGACCCCTTTTTAGTTCGCATTTCCCGTACCTTGTTCCCTGATTTCTGGCTCTGTCATAATGGTTTTCATAACGAGCTCGGGATGATGTCGGACTTACAGAGCCCATAGATGGCGTGCGGCTGCCATTAAGATTTGATTGCGATCAACTAACTTGGATACTCGCATCTGGGGCCTGCTGGGGTTTCATTACTATCTCTCCCGGACACCTGCGTACCTGTGGCAATTAGCGGGCAGACTGCCAAAAGAATAACAACACTAGATGGGCAAAAAGGAAGCCGTTAATCAAAGAGAGCGAAGCGACCCAATCAAGTTGACCTCAAAATCCAGGCGAGACAAAGCGGCGCGAATTTATTGTCGTTAGGCGAACAACGCACAAGTTCTGCAAAGAAACTTGTTTGCGGAACGTTCCCTAACAGTTACCTGACCATCGTCCATCCACAAAGGGAAGAACGGCCCTCTTTCAGTTCCCAGGTGCGGAGATCTTCGTGGAAATTACCATATCCATTCTAGTCCCATTGATTGATTCCATCATAAAGCACAAATAGTTCGCGGCTAAGACCCCGCAGGCGGTGCCCTCGAAGTTGACTGGAGACCTACTTAGGTCCCAGGGCTCTGGGCCAAAGTCTTGGCCGCCCATCAAAGTTTGACAGCTCGCCAGGCCACAATCTAATTCATATTAACTTTTTTCGGCTTTTTTTTCGGAGTAGCACCTCAATTATGATGGGAACAACTTGAGCCCGAAACTAGGTTAATTTCATTCATTCAATTAGAAAAGGAACTGCCGCGAGTAGAGTCTGGTTGTTTTATGGCCAGGTTGCAAGCTGCTTGGCAGCTAATTGGCGACGCGTCGCCTGCTGGAGTCACTAGCTCCGTTTCTGGGAAAGATCTTGGAACAATCTGCATAAATTAGCACAGCCCGACCCTTGACTAAGCAGCCATAATGAGAGACTAAGCATCCGATTTGAGGAAAGTATCTAATTATGCGCGGAATCTTGGCTTGTTTGGGGAGCAGTCAACGCAGGTTTATGGCAAGAAATTTCGGATATAGGCACTAATTAGATGGTTAGAAAAGAAAATTAATTAACGACGCCATTTGGATGACATAGTGAGCATTGGCCAGTGGTTATTAAGATGTCTTTCTTTATAGCTTTTCCCGGGGTGTGGCATAATATTTGTATAACTTTAGAGTTCATTGTTCGACATTTGGTTTAACTTTTATAGATGAATCTTATAGTAACTTCACTTGATAACAAGAGTATCTTAAATTTTAGTAACTTATTAAATGTTCAGGACTGCAAATGTTTTAATAAATTGTTTTAAAATGTATATTAATTGTATATTTACTTCTTTTTAACAAGAAAAAGGTGTGATTGTTTCAAGCCCCCTACAAAGATAGTCTCCATTAACTCGAGCAATCTCCATAATAACATATTTTTAATCACACCATAAGTATCTTATGAAGAAGCTCAACGGCTGGAGGAAAGTTACTTATTATGCGCTTGGCTTCCCACTAAACATGTGAAGTTTTCTGGTAATGTTTTCATCTTTGGAGCGTTCAACTCTATTGGTGCTACACTTGGTTGGCACCCACACAAGACGTTGTTTTCGTGCCACTTACATGGTTTTTACCAGCAGTGCTGGTTGTGGGTAAGTGTGCCACTAATCCAAGATCCGAGATCTGATCCGCAGGAGAGGAATCACCAGGTCTTCTTCTCACTTGACACCGGAAAAGTCTTGGTTGCCCGTTTTCCCCAACTGCTGCTGTGCAATTTTCACTTGGCTGCCGAAAGCGACAGGGTCAAATACCGTCTTTGGGGTTTCTTAAGATTGTACTTGTACTTGTATCTTGTATCTTGTATCTTTTAGCTTGAGCTTGAGCTTGTATCTTGCAGAATGCAACCGCAAATCAAAGCGTTGACGGTGCCTTCGTGTTTTTTTTTTTACGTGTTCAGGCTGGCAATTTCCATTTGACAAGCTCGTCTACAAACATTTTTGCACTTCATTAACTCATCCAACATTTGTGGAGTGCAAATGCCACGGGAAATTCCTCAGAGTCTGTCTCTTTCGGTCTCTGTCCCCTTCACTCTTTAAATTCTTCTCACTATTTCGTGGTTTACCGTTCAAGCACGCGCGAAAAAATATTTGAGGAAAATCAAAAGAAAAACCATCCGGAGGAGCACTACCGATCGCAGTAAAAGTCCAAAACCGACTGAACGAATGTCATGACCAAAGCGGCAGCTGCAGCTCTGTTTGAATTCAAGCGGGAGCGAAAGAGAGCGGCTTACTGGCGTTGAAAGAGAGAGCTAGAGTGCTGCGCAGGCGCGCACACTCTTCGCGCGACTCGAAGTCCACAGAGCAAAGATCAAGGCGGCAACAGAGAGCCATGGAGCTGGGAGCTCCACTAAACCCCACCGAGATTAAGACTGCCACTAAAGCGGGCTGGAAAAGTTGAGATGGACACTGCAAGAAAAAAGGTAAACAAATTACTTTATTTAAAAAAATATTAATATACAAAATCTGTTAAGAATTCTGCGGAAAAGATTGAAAAAATTACTTTAAAAATTAGGAGTGTCTTTAAGGCTTGTTACAGCTTTACTTCCAACAACCAAAGTTCATATTATATACTTACCCATTATTTATCACAGTGTAACAAAGACAGCAGCAGCTGTTTCCACCGCCCGGCGGCCGATTTGAATTGAGCCAACTAATAGCCGATGTTTGTTTGTTTTTGGCCAAGTTAAGGCACTGGCAGCGGAAAGTGCAAGCCAAGATGCAGCTGCTTTGCTGCCATTTACCGATTGTTAGTTTAATTGCAATAATGGACGCCTCTGCGGGGGGCTCTACATCATGGGACTCGGATTTGGATTCGGATACGGCCTCAACTTGGAGTTGAAGCTGGGGAATTTGGGTTAGTGTGTGCGGTTTTGGCCGCAGCAAGTTGGGGAAGAAATCGCATTTAAAGCAAGTTTTCTACTGGTGGTTGGCCTAAGAAAAAGTTCCCAAAAAAAAAAAAAAAAAAAACTATGGCCAAATTTAGAATCTTTAATCCACCGACTTATGACTCTTGGTATGATGCAACTGTGAGAAAGGCCTCGTCAGTGTTTCGGCTTCAATTTTGCATACCGTTTGGGTGGGCTGCACTTTGGTTCCAGCCCAGTCTCAGCTAATTAGCTTAATTACCCAATGCCAGAGGCGGATTAATTTCACCGGTGGCAAACGGTGAAAAATGTTGGCTGAAACAAAAGCGAGCTGGTGTTGAATCCACTCCCAATCGTTTGGCATGCACAGAGGAAAATTTTTTAATATTAAATAGATATTTAATTAGCTAAGCTTAATTTATAACATTTTTCAAATAATTTTGAATACTTTTATTACGATTTTGTTGATTTCTAACAGGAACTTCATCTAGTTCTCAAGTTATTTTAAATTTCATTTATATTTTTGCTATTTCATTATTTAATTTAAGCTCCAAAGAATTGACAACATAATTTAGTATTTAATTAGATTTTTTATCTTAATATACTAGGCTTTTATATTAATTTTAAACCTAATTAAATAAAATTACCTTGCCAGAAATCTCTCTATATTTTCCCACTTAATCAAAAAGTCCCTCAACTAGATTATCACAAAATGTGTAAATTATTTTCCGTGTTCCGCTGAGGGAAGATGAACTAAACCGAGATCGAGTGGCACTGATTGGAGCCCATTGCCAGCGCCTTGGCCAAAAGATTCGGCCTCGGAGCAAATGGTCTATCTGCGGATCTCCATATCGCTTGCATATAGAGTAGAGCCGAGACTGCGAGAGCCCGAAAATTGCGACACCTTCACGTGTTGCGCGCAATTGGAAGACGCTCCACAAACTGTAACCAAAGCGGAGCAATTAACGAGCTCCCACCAAAGGTGAGTGGTACTACGTATGCTAGATGTGGATGCTTTGGATGGAATTGAGCCCATTTATTTGCGGCAGGTCTGTGTGCGGCATTTGCATTTAGCCGGCTTAACAGGGCGTTAAGCTTGCGACACGGCCATAAAATAAAATACACATCTCCGGTGCTGCTGCTGCTGTACTTATCCAAGCCGTAATCCAAGCCGCTAGAAATCAGGTGTTAATAAGTCAAGGTCTCTGGTAATGGAGCGAACCGGGCTAACATCTATATCTCGAATATTCCCAGAGCAAATCTTCCTTTTCCTTTCTAAACGCGCATTTCACTTTTCGCCAACGCAGCAGCAGCAACAGCACAGGTAGTCAGTCAGTCAGACAGGTGTGCAAATATTTGCGGGAAAATTGTTAAACGAAACGCTAGAAAAACAAGCAAACTCGGGGGCTTTTTGGCGCATTGGGAAACCGCTTACCAAATCAAGTAATTAACGCTTTGATTTACTAAACGCATCGGATTGTCGCCAGTGGCCAATATTTAATGTTTCATGGTGTTGGCTCGATGCTTGATGGCTGCTCCTCCGTTGCATGGATCCAAAGCTCCATGGATCCTCATGTTTGTGTGCGAAATGTCGCCAATTTGATGTGGCTCTTTGCCTTTTGATTTTTCGCTTTTTCATTTCGTTTCGAGTGCTCCAGAGCTGCGCCTGCGCACTTTTCACTGCGTTAGTTACACTGGAAAAAAGTGATAAAGTGGTCTTAGTAATACATTAAATAATGTCCTGAGCTTCGACATACATAACTCTAAAACTTGCCTGAAAACTGTCAATCTTTGAATGTCTTTAATTTTCCCAGCTCATAAACCATTTTCCTTCAAGGAATCCCATATTTTTAGAGTGCACTCACTTGGACTGCGACATTTGTCAGGTCTGAGGCAACTGAGTTTATGCCTCGACTGCTTTTCCCCCTGCTGAGACATCTGCCAATCCTGCCAATTGGCGATTTCTCTTTCGCTGGAAAAATGTGGCAATAATCGTAAAACTTAACACAAATATTGAGCGGAGTAATTATGAGGCCCACAACTAGCTAGCTGCTGGTTGCAAACTGCAAATTGCAAACTGCAGACTCTCCTAAGTGACTCGGGATGACTGCCACTTTCAGTGAGTGCCGCCGATCGTTTGGATTGATCGCTTGACCCGATTTCCTAGCCATGACAAGAAACATATTTCAAGCTGCCGACAGCAGGAGAAGTTGGTCAATCTGCGGGGAATCATCTATAGAGGGCAGACCCCCAGTTCATCCCACGATGCACTCGTAATCCTCATGAATTTCATCACCTACCAATGCGCCGCCAAGTGCACGAATCTTGCAGATAAACATCAGTGCACTCGTCGCAGATACATGCGGAGATACATTCAGAGTTACAGATACAAAGCCCATTTCCGCTGCTTGCAGCCCTTTTGAATTGATTAATCCCCACTCCAAAGACCAATCCATTGTGGAGCATCCGCGACTTGGGTCTCTCACGTCCAGCTTCCGTGAAAATAATTCAATTTCATGCCGCATTATGTGTGTGGATTGGGTTCTTATATAAGGCCCTTAGAGGAGGAAAGTGCAAAGATTTGTCTCCCTTTTCTTAAGAGTTGTGGTTACGAACAGCAAGTGGCAATTAAAGCTTAAACTCATCACTTGGATGGATGCTGAGTGAGGGAGAAATTAAGCCAATACCGGTTGATATTCCCAATGCACTGAAGGAAAAGATAATAGTTTTGGTAGGTTGAGTTTATATAATTGTAAAAATTTAACAATTTATGTTAAGTTATTAATAATAGCATAAAGGGTAGAGTATTCCCTTAAGAAATTTCACATATATTTAGATTAAAGTAAGCCCCTATAGTTTAAATTTCTCTAAGTGCATCGTCTCTTTAGCTTTGCACATCATGTGGCTGATATGCCCGGCTCCTGGACAGCCCGTTTGGCAGCAACTTTCACAAACTTTTGCCAGCTTGGCCGCTCGATCGCGATTCTTATTACAGAATCAGGTGCGGGACGGGACTCTCACTCTCTCTCTTGCCATCTCTGTGTTTGGGGCGAGTCAGTGAACTGCTTGCAACTTGGGGCACGTTCGGTTGACAGTAAAAGTAAAGAGCCGCTCAGGAAAAAAGTGAACGCAATCGACCGAAAGGCGACCCACTTCCGCGGGTCCAGCAATATGGCCAATATGGTGAGTGCCCCGATCGCAATCTCCTCTCGCTTCTTCTCTCCGGGGATCGCACACACACCAAAAATTTGTATTTGGAAAATCTGTGGAGAAAAGTGGGTGGCCCACAGCCAGCAGCGACTCCGACGACTGTCCCCTTGTCGAGTGTCAGTCGTAGAAACCGAATTCGAACCCAAAAAACCAAAACCCAAAACCCCGACTGGACAAACGCACACGCAAAACAAACCAAAGTGGCTCAAACGAGCCATTGGCGTGACTTAATGATGCATAAATAAGAGAGGCTGCAGCGAGCAGACTGGGCTTGGTCGGGGTCCAGTCAAAAAAGATACAGATACTTTTGTACAGATACAAAATATTTAGTAACTAAATAGCAAGCTAAGACGACAGCAGTATGTAGTACAAATTCCTATCAAAAATATTCGATAAATCAAGTTAAGTTTAAAGTAAATTAGTTTTTGTAATTAAGAGTAAAACCTTTACCCTCTTTTATGAAGCATTTTAAGCCTCTGTATTACTCCAAAAAGATAAATTGATTATCTTTTTTTAAATTTTCATTACTCATTACTTCCTACTATTTCCTTTCAGTGTAAAAACCCAGCCTTCGCACGCATCTCTATCGGTGAACGCGGCTTAATTGCGCGCATTGCCGCTGTGAGACCAATGAAAGTGAGCTGCCGTTCGGTTAGAAGGGGGTATAGTGTGTGGCAAATTGAATAAAAAAAAATAAATAAATAAAAGTGAGACACCGCCGTCGAGATAACCAGAATTTCCAGACAAGCTTAAGTCATCCTTTTTTGGCAGTCTGCGCAGAATTTCAATGCTTTTCACTTTTTCTTGTGGGCTGAACTTTGGCATGGGAATCTAACAGATTGGCTTTACTTAAAAAGAAAATATAGTTTTGGTAAAGTTTAAAATGTTATATTTAAATATTTTAATGTTAGAATGAGAAATCTAAGGCACACCTTATATATTTTTACTATACTTTTTAATGCCCTTTTCCCAAGTGAAACACTCGATAAGTAAAGTGAATGAAGTTGAATGAAGCTTTATTGGTGCCATATCTCATTCACTTGAAGAGGCCAGATTAAGTAAATAATCTTTTTTATAATAAGTTTTATCATGGTTTTTGCAGACAAATTTTAAATGAATTTGTATTCTCGCTGAAATCGTTTACACAATCGGCTGAATATTTATTATTTATATATGAAGTTCATGAAGTTTAACATTTTGTTGTTGACAACTTTTAAGAGTTCGGTTATAATGGGATATAATTTTTGTTATTGAATAGTTCTGACAGACAAAAGAGGTGTTTTAATATAACTATACACTGGAATAAGTTATGAATATCTTTGTGTCTTTAGTGTGTATTTTATATCATGTTCAGGTTTATCAGTAACACCACAATTGCTGTTAATAACCAACATTTATACTTTTATAATGTTTATTGTTTTATCCTCGATTACTCTATGCATAGGATTACAATCTTCACTTGATGTCAGTAATACCAAAGCACATAAACGTATAGCACGATGAGCACAAACAACAGATGAATGAGGAAGAGCTCAATGGCCAGGGTAAACAAAGCCAGAGGCTTGAACGCCACATAGGTGATCTGGACGAACATGGCAGTGGCTCCTCCAGATGAACTTATTCCTTTCCTCCCCCTTACTCCTGAATTGTAAAGGTCAACTGCTTGCTGCGCGTGCTCTCGAATCTGTTGGGCGTGTGCATGCTGAGCATGGCGGAGATGCCTAGTCCCAGGATGCCCAGGAGCAGGGTCACCACAAACAAACCCGCCAAAATGGGGGCCGAAACGAAGCCCACACAGTCGTAGACCTCGCCGAACTTGGTGCGTCCATTCAGCCACGGCTCTACCTGGAAGTCGCTGAGCAACAGGCTCTGGATGGTCTCGTTCCTTATTGGATTCGTGAAGGTAGTGTTCTCGGCGGAGCAGCGATAGGAGAACCCAACCGGTGCCGAGGGCAGGGAGTACTCATCGCCGCGGGCCACAAGCACACTCTTCAGCTCCCTGTACTCCACTTCCACGTTGCGCAGTGTCCAAGAGCCACGAACCAGCGAGAACTTGAAGCGCAGTGTGCACTTCTCTCCCGAAGGCATGAAGGTGATGCTCAGCCTGCCGTAGCCCTTCTGGCGCTGGTCATCAAAGGTGATCTGCTTGATGTGCTCCACCAGGCGAAGAGTCTCGTTGCTCAGTCGCAGCTCCAGCGGCCCATAGAGGCTGAGAACTGCTTTATTTCCCTCGGCTATGTAGATGAAGCTGGCCTCGGTTTCCTCGGGTCCCTCCGTCTTTGGCTTTGCCTCTTCGGCTCCTCCTTCTGCGGCAGCTGCCTCACGTTTGCTCAGGAAGTGGGCCTCCTCCTCGCGGCTGGCCAGGATACCTAGAACCTCGCCTCGTCCATACGTGGCCAGGGCCTCGTTGTAAGCTGTGAGGATCTTGGCGTCGTCGTCTTCGCCGCGTCCCGAGAGGCTCACGACCTGCGCAGAGAAATTGGGTTAGAGGTGTATTGATTTTTTTAAGAGGTAATGGATTACAGAAAATCTTAGAGGGTTCCCTTTTGGAAAAGGTGAAGCCATAAATAGCTATACAATAAATTTTTTAATTTGCACATTCTTCAGATTATCAAAATATTAACTAATTTCTCAAGAAATACTCTTAAGATTTCTATCTCATCTCAGATGAAAACCATCATATATGTATTCGACTTTTAATATTTATAATAGCCTATGAATTTATATATAAACATTATTTTCTGTATCCATTTTTCTCTATGTTTGGTCACTCACCTGAATGTGCGAATTGCTTCCAAAAGGCTCTGCGGCCAATCTCCGCTGAGGCAAATATGTCCAGGCACCGCTCTTGACGAGGTTCTCGAACATGGGATACTTGGTGCCCTCCAATCGACTGGTAGAGTTCCGCACAAACAACACAATGGCCCTGGCCTCTGCGAAGAGTTGCGTCAGCGGCAGTTCCCTGCTGTTGGAGTCCACCAAGGCCTCTGACTGCAGACCGGATACCTTAGGGTGACCCCACAGGATAAACGGTCCACTGATGGACGCAGTGCAGCTGCCGATGGCCAGGCAAAGCCCAATTAAACAGAGAATGTATCTCATTCTCGGGGATGTGTTATGTTAAAAAAATACGTCTCAACGCGATTCTCTATCACCTTCGACTGCCAGTTGTCCGGGTTGGAGTGGAATTTACGAGTAAATATGTATGCGTTGAAAATTCGATTTGGGAGACACATGCGCAGAAATAAACAAGAAGTGGTGGTGGGTCTCGAAAGGCGAACAGTGGTGGTGGATTATGTATGGGAAATAGGGAAATGCTAACATATTGTAGGTCAGTTTTCCATGTATTTTAAGGTAACGTCTTTTCAAAAGACGTTAATATGATATTGACTTGAATATTTTAAAGGGGTATATTCTTTAATACTAATATCTCAATAATAATTACTATACAGTTTACATAAGTAAATATATTGATGAAATATTTACAAAAATTATTAAATAATAATTTCTCAAATTTACAGACATCTAGATGCTAAACTAATGACTAACATTTTTAGATCAAGTTGAGTATTAATTGTATAATGAGTAAATATGGGGATTCTTTTAACTGATTAATTTTAAAAAATATTTCAATTCAGTTTCAATATTCCTTCTATTTACAAAAACCTAAGGGCTAGGCCAATGACTACAATTGCTAATACAAAGGGCTTTGGTTCAGTTGGAGCTAAGCTTGAGGAGTAAAAGCCACCCTTGAACTTCTTGGTGCCTGTTTTAAAAATATAAAAATAAGTTAATTGATATTAAATAATAAAACCAACAAACAACTCACGCTTCTCATTGGTATCCCTCACTCCACAGGTGCGATACGAGATGGTCGCCTTGCGCTTTTGGTTCACATAACCCGGAATGAAGAGACTAGGTGACTCCAATCTTCCAGCTGCTACCAATCGGGACATATCCAGCTCCAGGCGATGAGCCAAGGGACCCTTGAAGTGAATGATCATTTGAATGCAGGCACCGCCATGCAGTTCTTTTGTCTTGCGAGCATCCACATCCAACATCCATTCTGGGATACCCATCACGGAACGCAGCTCCTCCAGAAATTGGGCACTAATTTGGGGAATTTGTATGATATTAATAAAGGAGATACTTGGTAGGTTAGTTACTTACACCACAAAGCGAGGCGGCTTCTGAAGATTGATGTACTTGATGACATTGTGATCGGGCTCTATGTTGGCACAGGCAAAGCGTTCATGGGAGTGATCGGGTCCAAATATTACAATGGAGCGGCCGATGGCACCCACAGGAGACTCAAGAGGGAAATTCGAATCGGTGAAGACCACACGTTCTCCTCCAAGATCTACAGAGGAATAATGATAATAATATTGATAATGATTTGTGGATAAATCAAAGATCACTTTCCTATGGTTCCTAAGCGAGCTCCCACATCGCCCACATAGCAGCGCAGAGGATTATCAGGACCGCATTCCTGCTCATAGAGATCCAGCTAGAAAAGGAAGATCCTAATAGAAACGATCTGTAATTGTTGACTTCAGTAAACTCACATTAAGTGGATCTGCCAACTGAGTATAGTAAGGATTCCACACATAACCTCCAGCCACACATCTGGTATTGGTGGGTTTTACAGCCGCATCCACGCCCACTGGATTCACAAAGATCTGCCAATTGTGGTTCTGTGTAGAGTTGCGATCATTCTTGCCTGGATGCCGCAGCTTCACCTCAATCACCGTCTCCGACTGGCTGCCATCGTTGTGGATCAGCTGCGTCATTTTGATGTAGCCATAGGCATAGCCCGTGGGATGATGGAAAGAGGCAATGGCCCTAAGTTCCCTGGCCTCACTGGGACTGTAGCCACGCTCCAAAGTGCTGCAAAGATTAGTGTAGTGAAGGGGATCTTGTGGAGAAATGGGGTTAACCCACCTGCAAGCCCATCGGGCATTCTTTTGCCTCTTTTGTATGATCACAGATCGTCCTATGATGCTGTTGTAGCCGAACAGCGGCAGATGAGTGTCGTTGTAGGAATCCTCAAAGTGGGTAACGCCCTTGAGGTCCCCGAACTTGCCACTCAGATCACCCATCTCGTACTGATCGGTAGTGCCCCGCTTGGAAGGTGGCGCTGACTTGGGACTGACCTCGAAGGGGTTCCACACTCCATACAGAGTGGAAGCCTCACAGGGAAAAGCCAAATTGGCCTCTACAGGTGTCTGTAATAAGAAAGATTTTAGATATATAAACAAGAAACCAAAAAGGATTTAGATCCCTTACCCTATGTATATGATAGCCCGTGTTATCCTGCAGCCCCTTGAACTGCACTTCCACATTGCTAATATCGTATTCCGACTGTTGGGTAATCTCAACCCTTCCGCTGACCGTCAGAGGATCTCCATTGGCATACCACTCCTTGGCCACCACCTTCCGGCGAAAGTGTCCAATGACCGCGGAACAGGCCAGCCTTTCCCCACGTGCCTTGGGGCCATTATCCTCGTATAGGACCAGCGACTTGCCCAGTATACTGTGACGTCCCGAGAGCGGAAGGTTACCATCCACAAACATCCTTCTGCTTATTTTCTGAGCAACCCGTCTGCCTCCGGCGATCGTAAGCGTGCCCAGCCTGGCATCCATTGCTCCCATGCGGCACATGGCTGGTAAGTTGGCTTGGCAGAAGTCATCGGCACTGCGATTGCCCCAGTCCACGCGGAAGGGATTGTACACGGGTCCAGCAGAGAGACACCTCTGCTGCCAGTCGTAAAAGTCCTTTCCAGGAGCACTGCTGTGGATGGCCCAACGATGATCGGAGGTAGTGTTCTGCGTGGATCCATCTGCCTGGATAAGGTACTCAAAGAGCACAGTGGTGTCCTGCCAGGGCTGCTCCGCCGCCTGCCTGAAGATCACTCGGCCCACAACTGGATAACGGAAGAGAACCTAACAAAGGAAGAATAATCGTAAAGTTATTCCCTTTAAGTAAATTAATATTCCTCACCTGGGCCGTGACCATGTTCTGCTGATAGATTCCATTCCGCTGATACTGTCCCAGACTGGAGCAGCCCCATATGTTCTGGGTGATCTTGTTCACATCCGTGCGGTTGAAGGTATAGATGACCAGGCTCCTCTGATCTATACTGTGCCGACCTTGAAGTGGCAAGAAGACATCCCAGTAGAGACCATTCAGCTCGGAGCTGGTTCCGGGCAAGACATACTGGTGCCAGTAGCCTTTGTTGCGACCCTGTAGCTTCCCAGAAAGATCGCCAATGGGATACTGCTCCTGGGTTCCGTAACCCGGAGGCGGAATGTTTTCGGTCACCTCGCGGGGATTGTGCATCTCCCCGGTGGTCCAGCAATAGTCGTCGTGACCCATGCGGTTCGGCACCGGCGGCAGGCTGTGGATCCGGAAGGCGGCCACATCTTCAGCGAACTTGCGGCTCACATGCTGGGAAAGAGGAGCTCCCAGGGTGAAGTTGAGAAAGGTGGGATCAAACTTGGAGCGCTGCGTGAATGTGACTTCTCCCTTGACACCTCCCGAGTTGATAAAGGTCCTGGATTTAAAAGATACATACATTAGAAAGCAATATCTAAGGACAAGGATGGATACCACTCACTTGTACGTCAACGGTTGAACGTGACGGATTTTGGTGCAGGCCAGGTACGTATCCGGATGTTGGTTATCAAAAAGCACCAAGTACAGAGTCCTGTGGGGAATGGTAAGATCCGAGGGCAGCAGCGCTAGCTGAGCATCTCTAAAAACACTGCGCTGTGGCGACCGCAAAGCATTCTTGGCCACTCCAATCCTGCCCAGACGTGCATCCAGGTCACCAATTCCCTGACCAGAACCACCTCCTTGTGGATCGAAGACCAGCTGCAGGAAGTTGCAGTTGTCCTCGGTGCGGTGATGATCGTGCTTGAAGATGTCCGTCACGAAGATTTTCCAGTGATGCTGGGTGAAGGATCCCTCCGCATTGCCGCTTCCCTCCAGCGGCGCTGGCTGCTCTCTGATGTGATACAAATCTGAGTATATCAGCGTATCCCCACTGGCTCCCTCCGCAGGAGCTAGCCAGCGAAAGTGAACAGATCCAGCGACGGGAGTATTGAAGCGCGCTTCAGCCATGTGCTCTACGGAACTCTGAATTGTGGTAATGGTGGCGCAGATGCGGACATTCGAATTGACCTCCGTGAGCACCAGGGACTTGCCCCAGATCCCCCGATCCCCGATCAACTGCATGTTGCGCTCCCACGTTGAGGTCTCATTGCCCGGCAGCACCAGATACTCCAGATCTTCATCGAAACTCAAGACCTGGCCACCCAGGCGACTCAGTTCGCAGCGCTCATCGGCATCCGTATTGGAATAGTCCACGGGGAACCGGCGAACAGCCCAACTCCAAACCTGGTCGGGATACTGCAGAGTGGCCTCTAGATTGGCCTTGATCTCCACCGTGGTGGCATTTAACTGCCGAAACGTAATCTCTCCATGCAGACCGCGCTGCGAGATGTAAGCGATCAGATGCTGGGCATCAGCTGGGGAATCCCAAGCCACGGAGAGTGAGAGTGATCGATCCATCGGGTGAACGAGCAGAGAGCGAGTGTGGTGGGAAATCATAAAAGAAGCAGAGAAAGAAATTATAAAAACATTTTGTATGACAATTTAAATAATGTAAAATTTTAAATATATTTAAAAATGTTTTCCTTATTTTCACCTTTTCTGACAAATTTGTTTAAATTTTCAACACCTTATATAATTTTAATAAAATTGTTAAATATTTTATATAATTTTTGAGAAAATCACAAACTAAAAAATCTATAACAAAGCCAAAAATGGCTTAAATTCAATTCGGAAAACTGTTCTGAGTTAGTTTTTATAAGGTTAACAAATCTGCATACTAAATTTTAAATTTTAAGAAATTAGAATTTTTGTTGATTTTTGGAAATTTTAATGATGTAACCCCTTATAAAATTTTAAAAAAAATTGTAACATTTTTTTTTCTCTCCCACATGGCTTGAAATACTCGCCTGTTGATGCTGATCAAGAATATATATGATTTATAGGGTCGGAAATGACTCCTTCACTGTGTTTCAAGCTTCCGACTAAAATTGGAATACCCTGCAAAGTTACAATGATGTCTGATGAAGGAACCCCTCCCTGTACCTAATTACTACAAGAAAACCTATATATAACTTACTAATTATTTATAAATTAAACTGCATAAATATTAAACACTTAAGAATGTTAAGAAGTAATTTTCTATATCTAAATACAAGTCTTAAAGTTTATAGCATGTTCCTTGCTCTTTCTTTGTCTGTTGTTTCTAAATAAATAAAATGTGTACCCAATTTTCTTCTGTGCATTCAAGAGTGTGGTGAGATACAGCTCTGAGATACTCGTACTTTCGATTTCTTCAGCGCAAAAGTGTCGCAGACTCTAAAGATTTGCATACAATGGTATCGATTCCCAGCTACTTACCGCCACTCGAACATGATGCAATATAGCAGGCGGAAATGAACCACAAAAGGTGTCGAACTTGAGCCATACTTCTGGTTTTCCCTTCCCGGAATAACCCTGATTTCCCGAACGAATAGTAACTGCCAGGTAGATGTGGCAATCGTGGCGGACTTTCACATGGTAGAGCGCATGCGTGCGCTCCGAAACTCGACTGGAAACTGGTCGCTCGAAGGTTTCGGCTTTGCTTTTGGCCAAGCCATCGACTCGGCTGGGTGTGGGGAGTTACTGCACTTCAGTTCTCTTTGTCCGCCTGCTTTATCAGCGGTTTTGTTTTGGCCTGTCGGCACAGCTCAGCTGAGTCATGTAAAGCCCCCCGAAGTTCCCCCAAAGTCCCCCACAAGTCAAACTCAAGTGGATCTGTGTTTTTTATCAAGACGACTCGCTTATGCTTTATTTCAAGACTTCGTCATTGTATGATCATCATTTAATTAAGTTGTATAAAAACAGTTCTTAGTTTTCTTCCTTTTTTTTATCTTTTTTTGTTTTCTTTGTATACTTGTTTGTTTTTTTTTTTTAATTTGTTTTGTTAATATTTCTGACCGGGTTAAAAATTTTTTAGATTCTTCTCATCTTGCCTTATGTGTGTGTGTGTGTAGCTTAATTTATACTGAAGTAAAGATTCGATTCGCATTTAACAACATTTGTTGTGTTTAGAGTGTATGATAGTGTGTGTCTAGAGTGTGTAATGATGTGTGCTCGTGTCGAGTGTTAGTGTCCTGATCCTCGGATCAGCCTAGGTACTAGTGGTTCATGGTCTGGGCCCTCGATAGGGAGAGCCCCAAAAATAAAACTACCAGATGACAAATCCTGGCCTCCGCCCCGCCAAATCCCAGGGCGGAGTTGGTTCCTCCTCGAAGTTATTTAACTAGAAACACTGGGGTTGGTTGGTTGTTTTGATCGTTTCTTCATATTTCAGATATCATAATTGGGTTCTTGGTTTGTTTGTTTGTTTATAACGCTGATAGTTCATAAGCAGAAAGATGTTGTGGTGGTGGTTGGTGATTAAGTTAAGTCATTTAGTTATGTAAATTCGCATAAAACATTACAGTGAATGAACTTAATGTTTCTCTGTTATTTTAGCCTAACTCTCGATAACTTGCAATAATATTGATAACTCATAGTTGATAATTGATAATTGATATTGAAATTGAAACTGAGTAACGAACGATAGATATGCATAACGATAAAAATATTTAGTGTTTATAGAAGGATATATATAATTGGCTCTCAGTTAATATACATATATATAGTTTATATAGGTTTTGCCTCTCTCTCTCCTGGTCCTGCGAGAATCAACGAAATCGAACGAAAAACATCAAAACTCACAAAACTCGCTAAACAAATTGTTCATGTTCAAAATTCAAATTCAAATTCAATTCAAAAACGTCGTGAGAGCAGGCCTAACGAACTCGACCTAGCTACCCACTAATCATCATCTTTGTCCTCCTCCTGTTCATCATCATCATATTCATAATCATAATCGCATCCATATTCGTCATCATTCCTCCCTACATCATCATTATCATCTCCTCCACCTCATCATCATCATCCTCGATCCTCGATCCTCGATCTCGATCTCGTCATCTCTCTGCGGTTTCTTCAACGGACAGCGATAAAAATAGACATTGCTTGGTTGTTGTTTTTAAGTTTTTTTGTTGATTTTATAGGTGTTTTAAATAAAATAGATTTTGCATTTTTGTTTTATAAATTTTACGTGTAAAATTTAACAGTAAATCAACTAGAAAACTACGCGTCAGTTCAGTTTCAGTTTCAGTGCTGTTAGTGCTGTGACATTGAACGTGATCGTAAATAGGTATCCCTAACTATGATGGACAGATACATGGTAAATGGCTACGAGTTGGTCTTGCTTGCTTGTTGATCGCTACCAAAGGTGTTGTTGAAGAAGTTTCAGTTGTTCAGTTGTTCAGTTGTTCAGTTGTTCAGTGATCAGTGATCAGGATGTTGTTGTGTTGTTCGATTGATCTTGAATCGGATCGGTATCGGTGTCGATGTCGATGGTTAACAAAAGAGAGATTACAAGATACTGAGAATCTACATATGTAAACGAGCATTTCTTTTAATTACGTTTATTATTACTGATTTGACTGATTGATTTTAACGTTTCTGATATTGGTTTCTGGCTGTAATATGGATGTTGAGTTAGAAGTTAGGATGTGAACGGTTGCCTTAGGCGGCCTCCTCCTCCTCCTCGTCACCCTTGCCGGTGAGCATCTCGATCAGGGCGCCGGTGTCGATCTGGTTCTTGTCGTCGATCACCATCTGATCGTAGGCATCATCAACCTCCTTCATGGTGAACTTGTCACCGAAGTTCATGAGCATATCGCGGAATTTGTCACCGTCGATGAGACCATCGTTATCGAATGTTTTGAAGGCAGCAATAACAACATCGTCTTCATCGTTGGCACCGGAGGTTGCCATGCGGTTGGCGAACAGGGTCAGCAACTGGGTGAAGTTGATGGGACCCGAGGCCTCGCCCAACATTTGGTCCAACTCCTTGTCGTTGGCGATCTTGCCGACGGAGTCGAAGGCAGCGCGCAGATCGTTCTTGCCAATAATACCGTCCTTGTCGGCATCCATTAGTTGGAAGGCCTGATCATTCGTTCGTTCAGATAGAGAGAGAGAGAGAGAGAAAGAGAGAGTGGGTTGGTGACTTGGTCGTTGACAAGATGTGATAGATGCCAATGGGGGGGTTGGGGATGGGAATGTTGTTGGAGTTGGGAGTTTGGATCGGAGTGGAGTGGAATGAAATGGGAGGATGAAATGTCTTGGGTGGTCTGCCAACACTCACCTCCTTGAACTCGGCGATCTGCTTCTGCGAGAACACAGAGAAGACCGAGGAGCCAGCGCGCTTCGACTTCCTGGAGCCCCGAGAACCGCCCGACGCTCTCTTCGAACCAGTGGCGGAGGCGGCCGGGGCAGGAGTTGCGGCTGGTGCCGGGGTTGCTGCCTCAGATGCGGCCTCAGAAGCGGTTTCTGAAGTACCACCCTCTTCCTTGGTCTTCTTCTTCTTAACCTTCTTCTTCTCATCGGCCTGTGGCAACAAAAAAAAAGGGGAAAAAGGATTAGGAATCAATTGGGTTTTAAGGTTTAATGGAACTCAGGTCAAGGGTCCAGAAGTCTGGGGTCAGTAGGTCTGAAGGTCTTTCATTGCTAAGGCTTCTTCTGTTCGTGTAGTCAGGATATCTAATTGGAAGTTCTCTGACTGGTGGCTAACCATTGATAGTATCAGCTGTAAGGATATGCCTATTTAGATCTTTATCTTGAAGTATTTTATAAGATCTCCAAAGAAGAATCGACAATAATCCATATCTAGGATCTAATCTCCTTGGAGTTTCCTTCATTGCAAGAATCTCCAATTTAAAGTTATCCATTCGAAAGTTCTCCAATTAGAAGGCAGGAAAATTTATAATGTATCTGGGGCGAGAAAATTTTCCACTTTGGCTATTAATAAACCGGACGCTTGTTACGTAAGCTCGCCGCCGTGTGCGCCACTCGCCGTCTCGCTTGCTCCCCGCAACGGATATCGGATTACGTTACTGACGCGTAACACTCGGATCGATCCATTTATAGATTCTATATATTCACACTATTCACACGAGAAGGTGAGCGAGGTCACCATGGAGTTGTACTTTAAGGATTCACTTCAATTCATTTCGGAATTATGTCTTAATCTCTGAGATCTCAAAATGCATATGATTCACTGCACTAATGGACGTTGGACGGGCGTATCCTTGCTGCATATATCCAGGTCCTCGGTTCGGTTCTGTTCGGGTGTTCTGGTGTGTGTACTCCAAAGACGAGTCCTTACCATGGTGCTGAACTTTGATGTGTTGTCTAATCGAGTCGAGCGGTCAGAGCACACTGAATCTCTGGCTGATTTTATCGCCAAGACAATGATGTTTTAAGAACTCGGCGCCGCTCTGCTTCTTCCACCTTGGGCCACCGTTCGGCGATGCTTCGGGTATCTTCGGCCGCCATTCGCGTATCTGTATCCGCAATATTCGTGCTGCCTTTTTTAGTATCTGCAAGGCGAGGTCCGCCCAGGCGATCGGCGGGGCACAGGGGGAATCTATAGCCATATAGCCGCTACGGCTATAGGCCATAAGAGCTGTATCCGAGCGGTTTACTCATCGGGGGGCGCTGCTCTAATCAAAAATCTAATTATAACGACGGAGAAATGCTTTGGCTTTGGCTCTTGGGCCAGCAGCAGAAGCCTATACATATGTTCGGAATTTATTTCGGTGCCATTCGGTTCGATTCGGCTCGGGATCCGCTAGGTGTTCGGATCGCACTCTCTGTTTTGTGGGATGGATGGATGGATGGATACATTTCCCCCTGTCTTGGTTCACATTTTGTTTTGTTTTGGTTTCTCTTGAAGCCACCTCCCCAAAGGTGTCCTCTTGCGCTGAAATCACCTACATTTCCCTTGGCAGTACATGCATACATATATCCCAGATCCCACACATAACATATATATATCTATTCATGCCTATATACTCGATGTTTTGCCTCGCATTTTGCGTTTCTTTTTCTGTTTTCGAAATGTGCCTCGCACATTGTGCAATATGAAGAGCGGCGAGAATTCCAAATCTATAGATCTCTGGCATATATACACAGAGATCGGGCGGATTTCGTGGCGCATAAATATCCAACGAACCCGATATTGGACCAGAGTTATTTCGGCAACAAATGTACAATAAACATCTGACTTTATCTACATATATGCGACCGATGGCCTGGACATTGCATAACAATGGGTAGACTTTTTAATATTCACTTTTTAAATGATCAGCTGAACTTTAAAATTGTTTAAAATTATTATTTGTACCTTTTGGGGTTTTTCTTATATATTTTTAAGAATTCCAGACTTCTTTTAGGCTGAAAAAGTCCTTCAAATTATATCTAAAATACTATTTAATTGCCATGACACATCGGATTATTAAATCTGAAGCGTTCGTCATTTGTAACATAACAAAATAATCTCTATTATTAGCTGTTACCAAATATTCTCTATATATTATATGGGCTTTTATAGAATTATACATTTATCTAGAGGTTGTCTGCTGAAAATCAAATATTTTTAAGGTCCTTTCCCTCACCGAAATATTTAAAATTATTAATGGTAACCCAACCGCATCCTTATTTGGCTTCATTTCAAACTATTTCCATCTTGGCTAATGACATAATTAATGAAGGTTTTTTCAATTAATGAAAATCAAACGGAAAATATATCAATTAATAGTGGGATCCCCGCGTGAAGGCTTTCATAATTCATCGATCAGACATAATGAAAATCGATTTTTCCGCTGATGTTTCTTCTTCGTGCTCCATTGAAAGTGATTTTCTAGTGAAAAACTCTCTTGGCAATGCAATTTTTGGCACATAACCAGGCGACATTTTGGCCTCGGGCCAAGCAAAACAAAAAAGAAAAAACCTCAATATATATAGAAGAACACTGCCCACAATCTAATACGCAATTATGTAGCATTGAATGTATGCGAAAGTATAAATAGAACAAAGTGCAAAATACGAGTCAAAGGAATGTTAAAATTAATGAAAACTGCGGCATATATGTAAGAGTATTCAGTTTTTCCAAGGTGCAGCAAGTATCTGGGAATAATTAATGGGCCTCTGACACTTTGGAAGCTTTGTTTATGGAGAGAGGTTAACAATCGAAGAGGGGAATATACATACATACATAATAATAACAGCCTACACATAACATTTGTTTATCTCATGAGTTTCTAAATTTAAACGCCAAATCATCATTTACGGATTTACTATGTGCGTTTCTCTGGGTATACACAACATTAGAAGTCTCCACCTGATACACGGCGAACTTGGAGGCTGCTCACATACAAGGGAGGTCGGTCGATTGGTCGGACGTCATTGGGAAACAACTGTATTCGGCGTCCACAACGCATTCCGGCCCCATCTCCTCACGCCTTGGCCGCCCGATGGCCGAAAATAGATGAGCCAACGCGCACCACCGTGCTGCCCATTTCAATCTAAGGGAATAGTTCAGATTTTAGAGGGGTTTGATCCACGTCAACAACGGAGGCTCACTTACCGCCTTGTCGTAGTCGTTGGACATGCCCATGGAGACGAGCACCGAGTCTGCGGGCAAGGAGTGCGCCTCGCAGATGGAACGATGCACCTGCATCAGCGACACAAAATCCGGATTGGGCCCAGTGCTGTAGTCAAAGCCAAAGGCTCCGATGGTCATGATGCCCAGCAGCTGCAGGTGCTTCAGGTTGTTCCTGATGTACTGGTAAAGAGCAGGCGCATCCTTGGCCTCGATTCCGCTCTTGACTGCAAGTTTATGGTTATTTGTAAGTAGTTTCAGCAGGAAAACAACAATACTCACCATCTTCTCCGCTGGTATTGATCTGGATGAGCACCTGTAGGGGCTGCTCAGGAGGTGGCAGCTGCTTGGACCAGGCTGCATCCAGCTTGTTGGCCAGTTTTTCGCTTTCCACGGTTTGGATCATACGCAGATTGGGGACCGATAGCACCTGTAGAGGGGTGGTAAGGGGGGAATTTGCATTGAAGCTTTCTCTTTGGTATCTTATCTCAGCAACGCCAGACCTTGTTGATCTTATTGCTCTGCATGTGACCTATAAAATGCCACCTGATGTCGGGACACTTGGCTAGGATGTCCGGATGCCGGCTCTTCTCCTCCAGCTCCTGCACATAGTTCTCGCCAAAGTCCCTTTGTCCGGCTTCATAAGCCTCGATAACAGCTTCCGCAGGCTTTGTTTTGCTTACAGCCACCAGCAAGGGCTTTGCCGATTGTATTTCCTGTTGAAAAGATAGCAACTTTCACTACTATGATCACCAGGAAAGGGATTCTGGGGACTCTAACCTTTGGACGCTGCAGGAGCACCTCATCAATGCGCTTCAACACGTGCTGCAGGCCTGCTTTTACGTCAAATTCGGCCATTGTGCGTCTAAGCATTTAACTGTAAAGGGTTTAACGATCAAGTCGGTGTATATATAAACCCAGATAACAGGAAATTATAGTAACTTACAGATAAGGGGAATTGCGGCCTTAAAAAAAGAAAACAAACTTATCCAAATCAGCTGTTCGCTGTATTGAGGGTTTTTTTGCATCTGGTCACACGCAAACATCGATGTTTCTGTTTTTCTAATTGACTGTTATTACTATCGATAACATATCGAAAGCTTAGAATTCAAATTTTGCCAGGTAAAACCATGTTTATCTTTAAAATGTGATTAAAGGTTTACAAAATACAACGACAAATTAGAAATAAATAAAAATAAAAAATACTTTTCCACTACCTTTTCCTAGCCTGTCAGTCCTACCCAATTTTTAGCATTTATGACACCTGTTTTGGTTAAAATGCCACCAGCACTGGGCTTTACATAGACGCCTTATCCTAAATCTACGAAATGGCTGACGCCATACGGTGCGCCTGCGATACCCTGAACTCTGCCGCCGGGCAGCTGGCCAGGCTGCGTATCTCCGAGATCCGGCAGAGCCTCGACTTTCTTGGGGTGCAGCATACGGAGGTGTTGCTGGGCCTGCTCGTGGTCGTCCTGTTGCAGTTCACAAAGTTTGCTGCCATTCTGCTGCTAGCCATCGTCCTGGCCTACAGCATATTTTACCTGGCAAGTGATCCTTTGATCCTCTTTTTTTTTAAGCATTTCTAATTTTTGCTACCTGCAGTGGGAAAATTACTTCCCTGGCATCGCTGAACTGGGGTACAGGGGCAAAAAAATGTGCCGAAATGTCCGCACCTATGTCAACCTGCCGCCCTTTACATATTCAGATGGCGAGGAGAGCACCGGTACGGGAGAGTATATTGTGAACCCTTCCAGAAGGTACACCGGCGACTTGCTGACTGAACCAGCCAGAATGCTGGTGCCAATGCTGCAGGACAGCAACAAAATGTTTCAGAGCGCCAATCTACAGGTGGGTTCGCCGCTACTGGGAATGGAGACCGGTTTCCGGGGATCTCGGGGTCCGGAGTCACAAAAGGAGACGCTGGAGGCGGGGAAGCACCGCAGGGAGCATCGGCACTACTGGAGACCTACTAATACGGATAAGGAACGAGAACGGGAACATCACTCCTCCAGACGAAGTGCTCAGGGCGCGAGTCATGAGGCCAAGCGCACCCCTAATGTCTTGCGCATCCCGAAAATCACCAGTGGCGCAGTAGACATCCGGCGACTGCCCACCATCACGAGTGAGGATCTGAAGCGTTTGCCCAATATCACAAGTGGGGAGTCTAGGAAAACGCACAAGGAGGAATCCCGTAGATTGCCGACCATCACCAGTGCCGAGTTGGGCTACCGCAGGGTTCCCAAGATCACAAGCCACACCAACGATTCCCCAAGATGGCTGAATATGGCCGCTGGAGCGACTGAGTCCCGGAGGAGATCGAAAAGCTCACGTCCCCAAGAAGGCGGTGAGTCGCGACGCCCGGACCGTGTCCACGGTGCTGGCGAAGCCAAGTACAGGCGTTCGCCAGAGCGTCCGTATCCTGCCCAGGGGCGCCGTGTGGATGAGCAGCGGCAGCAGCCACATCGGGTGATTGCCAGCTCCGACGACAATCGTCCCACTAAAAACCGTCGCAGCCTCAACAACAACACCCGTTCAGGAGTAATTCGTCGCCAGTATCCGGACGATCACTACGAGCGGCTGAGAATGGAGAACCGTGACTTCCAAGCCCGTCGATTGGGGGCCAGTAGCGGTCATCCCACCTCCGAGGGGGCAATGCTCACCCAGCAGGAGAACTTTGTGGCCAGCTTCAAGCGCAATGATCGACGGGAGCCTCACAGGAACATCAAATCAAGTGAGTTATGGGATTTATTTTACTTATTAATTTAAATGAATTAAAATTATAAATTTTGTTTAATTTATTAACAGGTAACCCGCCAAAGGAGGGTTCTAACAAGAACAGGCGCGATCGCAAGACCAGCCCCAGCCCTTCCATAAAGTAGATCCGTAAAAGCCCAAAAAATTACTAAAAATTGGAAAGAAAACGAAATGAAAAGCAAACTAAAAAACAGAAGATAAACGGCTGTTGCTTTTAAATACAAATAAGGACCAAATGAAACCTCATTCAATGCCTTGTGTATTAATCAAAGAATCTTAAGCCCAAACTAATTTCTGTGAAAAGCTTTTAGCCAAATTTCTGTGAAAACATAATAACCAATAACCAAATAAAATTTTGGGTGTTGTTTAAACAAGTTTTAAGGCCTTTAAATTCAGATTTTCCTATATAAAAGTAACCTTTAATTAAGGCTTTTTAAATTTAATTTAATTTTTATTTTATTTATTTTCTAGTGCGGCAAGGTCGATAATAAAATAAGCTTATTTTGAACATTGTATTCTTATTACTTAAATACAATTTTATATCATTTTATTTTATGGAATTTTTATTTATTTAAACAAATTTTGTCATGTTTTTTTAATTTAAAAAATTGTTATTTAAATACTTTTTAGAAGCAAGTTTAAAACATATAATTGAAAAATGGTTTTACCAAATATTTTTAATTATAGAAAATTATAAATATTTTAAATTAAAATTTAAAAACTCCCTTAAAAGGCAACCCTGCGTAAATAGCCTAACGCCTGCCATCAGCTGTTTAAGGTATTTTTTTAGAAGAACAATAAAGCAAGTTGGCAGGTCCACCGACTGAATGTTTTTGTTTTGCAGGGAAAAGTGAATGAAAAAACGTATTAAATTTGATAAATAATATAAGAAAACCAAACCAATGCCATTTCGCTTGGCTACCACAAGATGACCATCTTCAATCTGTACATATTCGACAAGTATGGAACCCTGTTGCACTACGCCGAATGGAATCGCACCAAGAAGTCTGGCATAACCCGGGAGGAGGTGAGAAAGTATCTTTAAATGTATCTTAAAATAAACTAATAAAAGTAATTTCCAGGAGGCCAAACTCACCTATGGAATGCTGTTCTCCATCAAGTCCTTTGTGAGCAAGATATCGCCACACGATCCGCGTGAAGGATTTCTCTACTACAAAACAAATCGCTACGCCCTACATTACCTAGAAACTCCTTCGGGTTTGAAGTAAGTGTGGGGGGAATCACATGGAACTTTACTCCAAAAATCATTAAAAGATTTCTGCATTATATTAATTTGTCTGTTAAAAAGACATCTAACTAAATTTTCTTCCCCTTCCTTCCAGATTCGTTCTCAACACCGATACCACAGCCATCAATGTAAAGGAGCTGCTACAGCAGCTGTACTCCAAAGTGTGGGTGGAGTTTGTGGTACGCGATCCACTGTGGACGCCCGGCACGGTGGTCACCTCGGAACTATTCCAGTCCAAGTTGGACGAGTTCGTCAGGCAGTCGCCCATCTTTGGCATTCGCAATATATAATAGCTTTAAGCTCATATTCCTAAACACAAAGGCAAATTGCCAAGCGAAAATACTATGCAAATTCCAAAAACTCTAAAAACTCTGAAAGGTCTATGTCATTAGCTCTGAATTTGCAAATAACTTTGCCGCAATGCACACGCCTCGCGAGGCCGGAAATTGTGTGCACTTATAAGAAATGTCTGCTGCTGCTGCGCCAAGCTTGGACCAAAAAACTTGCCTGGGAATTGCGCAAGGTCTGCTGCTTTGTTTTTCACTGTCCGGTGTCAGGCTGACGACCGATGTCCACTCACCGGCTGTCCGCTGACAAAGGGGGACAAATGTCAAAGCGGTTGCAGCAACAAGCTCCAAAAGCTGATAAACTTTGACGGAAAGACTCTGAAAATCTGAGCGGGTGTTGCTGCAGGTACAAGTGGTTACACGAATCGAAAATTTGACATACAAAGGGTTTATTTTTAAATTCTAATTAATTTAAACGAGGTACTTTTCAAAAGATTGCTTAATGAATTAAATACCATAAAATAACACAATTTTGTCAATTTTGTTTAATCTTACATCTTAAATTATCTAAATCCTATATCTTTCCCATCATAATAACTAATTTATGTTATACAAAATCAAAACTATATCCTCCAATTTATGTATTCAAGCTAATTGGAGATATCTCCCAAAATCAAATTAAATATTTGCTGATAAAACTATTATGACCTCATACGAAATTGGCAAGTTCATAACAATATGATAAAGATCTTAAAAAAATACCCTAAACCGACCTCGAAGCATGGCGAATCCCATTTCTCCCCGTGTAACCACCAATTTTGCCTGCCGGGCCATTTGGGCTCGCCGCATCGTCAAGGGTTTTCGCAACTATTCATTTTGGCGGCTGTGGAAAATGATTTGCAGAATGCATCCATAATCGGGGGAGCAGAGCAGCACGTGAAGCCGATGTCGACGCTGCTGCTGCTGCTGGCAGTCGAAACCAGTCGCTTTGGCTCTGGTCGGCGGATCAGCATGAGCGGGCTCAAAATCCACAAAATATGGAGAGATACCGCTCTGTAAAGGCTCTTTCCTACTACATATATGCTTGCCCGATGTCTCACTTATTCAAAAATTTTTTGTGCAAGTCACAAGACATTTGAACTAAATATGTTTTGTAGGTTTTAGCGCTCTTTTTTTCACTCTTCGCATTGTCTTTGACGAATTTTAAAAACGAGTTTCAACAGCTCCGTCCGCCGCAGGCCGTTCCATTGCAAAAGCCGCTGGCGAGACAATAAAAATGGAACCACAAAGCGGTTTCTTTTCTCCGCGATCGAAGAAATCAATTTCAAAGCCAAAAATACGCCCAGTCCCCCAGCAGCAGCAGCAGCACAGCACAAATAAATCAAATATCAAGCTAATGATGGGTCGCTTTGGAGCCGAGAAAAACCCGAACGAACGCACGCACAGGTTGCAACACCCCTGGCGCCCTTTCAAAATCGGCACTCGCAATTGCATAGATACTCTCCGCCTCGTAGATGGGTATCTTATGGATACCAGTTCCGAAGTCGCCAGAGAGGCTGCCTCGATCACAGGTGTAGGTATAGGTAAAAGCCTTTGAAGTATAAAGGTGAGCAATGCACAGGGAATAAAGTTAAGTAGATATTATTATTAATAAAAATTTATTAAAGAAAATATCTTCCTAAATTTGTATCTCTACAATTTTGAACCTATCTTTTCTATTATTAAAATCATATTTATATTTCCCTATAGTAAAACCCAATTCATCCTCATTTCTTTACAATATTTTGTACTGTGTATATTTTGTCTATTTCTTCGATGACATCGCTTCAGCTTCCAATTAGCTTAGGAAAGCGGCGACTCCGGAGATTTGAGCTTTCTGTTTTCATTCGCAAAAGTTACGCAAATTTCGGGCCACTCGAAGTATGTTTTTTTTTTTTTGGTTTTTCGGTTTTCGTCACCAAACTTCCATCGTAGATCGCAGCAAGGTTAGTTGTATTAACGGTTTGCTGGGCAGTGCTGCCTGAAAATTGGAAATTGTCGCCCGGTCACGTCATTAAATGACCGCTATCTTGATTGCTTTACGACCGCTGCAACCTTTTCCCGCGCGTAATTAAAACTCTTAACGAGCAATTGTGGCGGGTATTTACCACTTTTTTTCATCGAAAAGAAAAAGCAACGTGCGGCAGATCTTAGGAGATGACACCTCCGGTTGGCGGACCAAGCCCACCCACATGCCACTGCCCGTGGCTATCTGAACCAGTCAAGGCCCTTCGGTTGACCGGAGGCGGACCTGATCCACCATAAACCATATGCGGGGTTTAGATATTATGCAAATTTGTAGGCCTAACATTTGCCAGCCAAATTTAGCTGTTTTGCTGAGCCAAATTAGGGGAAATGTTAGAAAAGCAATCCCAAATATTTCGCATTAATCTTTGGCCAAGAAATCAAGAGTTCTGAGCGGGTCAACAGTTTTTACAACCAAGGGACAAATATCACAATATGGTGAATGCCCTTCTGGCTCACAAAAAAACTAATTAATACCGGAATGTTAAATAGGATGCCATTAAATATTTTAAAGTTAAGCATTAGCATAGTTAGATTTTGATAATAAAACTGATTTACGTTTTATATATGCTTAAGTTTGCATATCTTTCTTTTTATAATTTGCTTAGGTTTCTAAGCTCTTTGATTTTTACTATTTACAGAAAATGTTAATCTACAAATCTACATCATTCCGTATGCTTCGAGACCTCCATATTCTGTGTGATAAATGGAAGAAGTTTCAGCTAAAAAAAACTAAGCTAAGCAGAAGGGTTAATAAACGAAAGTTGGGTAGATATGTGGTTTATATATGTATATTAGAAATATTATAATTTAATGCGTGTTTTATATATTTTAGATATAATATAATTCGTAGAATTTCCCTTTCTTTTCTAAATACATTAATTTACTTCAGTTACTTTAATCTGAATAAACACTTGTTTAACTTTGATCTAACAAAATGATTAAGTCTTCATAACAACATGATTGTTGAACAAAGTTCATTTTTCCATTCATTAAAGTTTTCCATGCAATTATTTCCCACAAGTTAATTATAATTCGCGAAAAATCTGCCTTCGCCCCTCCATAGAAATGGCAGCATTAATTAATACTTGCTGGCCAAAATCAACTAACCAAGAGTATTAGTTATCGCATTTAGAGTTAAGTAGATATTTTTAAAGAGATTTAAAATTGTTAAAAGTGGGTGTAGTAACTTCTAAAATAGCAGAAATATTTGTATAAAGGAAGAAGCTTGTATTTAAAACAGGAAGTTTGGTTTAGTACCTTAAATTATTTCGTTTCTTTACCTATAATAACTAAATAAAACTCGAATTAATCTTACTTAAAACAATCAAAACCAAAAAAAACCAACTTACCTTCAAGGGTTTTTATTTATCTTTAAGGCCCGACTGAGTTTCACTCAAGCATCGTTCATCTTTTCCATTGAGTGACTATCCAAAGTCTTGATGTAAACTTGATACCATATACCATATGAGGCAACCTTCAATTAACTAGGCCCACAAGAATAGCCTGAATGGTGGGCTCGTTTGGTGTCCACTGGGTCGTCACCAATTAGGTGACGATGACTGTCACATGGGCACGGGTGCCTTAATGAGATGACGATGACACGATCAGGTCGGGGCGTTTTTTGGTCATTCACTGGCTGAAACTGTTGATATTGGCAAAGCACTTGACCTTCTCGTAATACAAGTGGCGGCTAGTCAGGGTACACAGAAAGTAAATTTTAAGTTTTAAGAAATCAAAAAATAACTAATAACTTGTCCTATGTTAAATATTTTGAAGGTCTACTTTAAGTTCCTTTTATTGTATACATTTTTTAAGCGACACAGTTACCACCTCTATATAAAACATGTCTTTATTTTAAACTCATTCTTCCTCCCATCAATCAGGAAACAATTTCCGGAAAAATTCAACTTGCAATTTAAATATAAACTAAAAAATTAACATGCTTTTTTTGTCTGTTAAGGAAACCCATAAAGACAAAGTAAAGTAGGAGTCATGAATTTTTATGATCAGCGGGAACTCCCCTCCACTTGGTTGTGGAATGCTCCAGGAATTCCCCTTGAATTCGTGGAGGCTTGAACCTTTTCAAGGTTCTCGTTCTGCTTGGAGTGTACGTGCCAAGCGCACGTAGGCCTGTCCCATTGGAGGAGCCAAGGGACAGGTGGTGGTGGTGGTGGCAAATCGATTAAGGAACGATTATAATTACCAGCGTCTAGTAGCGAGGTTCCTTGCCTCTGTTCCTGCGACTGTACAAAGTCGTGATCTCTGCTTTGGATGCTCCTATGGTCACGTAGTCCAAAGTTAAACCAGTTGGCGCCTTTGAGCAGATGCTAACTTCACCACGTCCACATCCTCTGCCCACAAAGATGTGATAATAGTGACTTAGATGACAGATAATGGCGATGGTAATGACGATTGCATTAGCCTTTACCATTTCCATTTCCCATTTTAATTTAAATTTGCATTTAAGTTCGTCACAGCCCCGAAAGTAAATAGGGTCAAATGATTAGGTGGGTGAAAGGCAAGTCCCACAGATTTTTTATGGATCTTGGCTAACTAACTTCTGTGAATTGTAATCCACGTGGGAGTATCATCTCATGGATATTATACCTGCTGAGATACATTCACAAAGCGGCCTTTTCCCGCTTTAGTTACCATCTTTTCTCTAACCACTAAGATACATATTTATTTTGGCACAATTTACGTTTATTGGGGCTGCTATTGTGGGTAGCGTTACCTTTTTATAAAGAAAAAGGTATTGTTTACCTGTAAATCAGTTGGCTTGTATAAGAAACTATAAATTGTACAACAAAATCTATATTTAAATAGTCAGATTGTCATTTTTCTATTTATAAACATTTGAGAGCCATAACTATTAAAAGATATTTTAGTTATTACTTCTAAAAAACATGTCAAATATACTCATATACTTAAGAAAGTAAAAACAACTTAAGAAACTTCTAAGAAATACATAGTTTAAACAACTTAATGGAATGGAATTGATACTTCAACTATCGTTTGTTGAATATTTTTGTAAGTCGCACATAATTTGCTAAAGAAAAACAATAACAGAATCATTTCTCGGTAAAAACGGGGAATTTTAAATTATATTTTTTATGAGTCACTCACTACCTGCTGGATTTATTTTTAAACTACTTCACTTGACACCAATTATTCAGAGAGCCATATGCAAAAAATGTATAAATAATATTTATTTAATATATAACGAGGCTTCATGAAAACATTTCCTCCAAATATACATCATCTTTTGGTTTGAATGGAAGATTTCCTTCGTGGATATTTGTCAATGTCACATAGACATATTCCCCAGATACTCATCATAAGTTAATTGAAATGCAATTTGGCTTTTTTTTCATATTTATTTTTATTTGTAAATATTTATTTTGTTTTTATTTATTTGTCTCGCCGTTTTTGTTTTTTGAATTTTTTTTTGTGGGACGAAGAGCCTATTTTGTGGTCGTTTTTATATTCAAATTTGTGTGTGTCTTAAACTTATGTCGTACCGTGCTAAGCTGCTAAATACCTAAACCTACAGAAATGACGATATTGGAATGAGTGAGTGTGTGTCTGACTGTGAGTGTGAGTGTCGTGTCGTGTCTGCTGAGTGTTAACCGTTGCGGTGCTGTGTGATATAGATAGTGATAATGATAGAAATAGTATAGGTTTAATTTAAAAAAACGATTATCGACTATGTCCCGCCCTCTGGTGTTGTCCAGATACATAGATGCAAGATTAAGTGACGATCCTCCCTCCCTCCCTCGATAACAGTTGCGATCCCTAGGCGCACTTTGACTTGGACTTCTTCATCCGCTCGCCCTCGTTTTCGTTCTCATCCAGCTTGGCGCTCTCCGTGCTGCTGGACTCGGCATCGTACTCCAGCTCTGGATCGGGGACCTCGGCATAGTGGAAGTGGCCCACCATTTGGGTGGCTGCCACCTGGGCAGGATCTTTGCCATCCTTGCCCTCCTGAGAGGCATGCGTTCCATCGCCATACTTTTCGAGAGTGCGACGCACTAGCTCCTTGGACGGCTGCTTCATGTTCCAGGCCCAGCCTAGCTTGTGGAAGGCATCCAGCACCATGGTGGTGAAGTTGACGGTGTAGTTGCCCAGCTCAGCTGCTTTGTAGTCCCAGGGGAAGACGTGGTGATAGTTGTGCCAACCCTCACCCATGGCCAACACGGAGACGTAGATGTTCTCGCTGGGCATGATACGCCTGAGGAGGAGAAGAGCAAATCAGTTGGATTTATCTTCCCAAATTGATTATATAAACAATAAAACCCTCTTTCACAAGTCTAAATTCATTTCAAGACTATAAACATAAAATTATAGCGTCATACATAGATACTCGTACATAAATCAAATACAGGTTTTTGTGAGAGGCTGACTTTAAACTAAATTTTGCTTGTTTATAATTACAAGAAAAAACCTTTAAATTACATTAGAAATATCATAATATTTCATGTAATATACTATTAACTGACATATTTAAGCTAGATTTTTTAGTTTTCTTGAAACTTTTTGTCTTTCTCATCAACTTATTTTATTTATAAGCTATTTCGAAGGTGTTAAAACATGTGACTTTTTCTTATTAAGCAAGGTCATCGAAATGTTTAAAAAATACTATAAAAACCATGAGAAAAGTAGTGCCAAAGACTGACCTATACTACCCATTAAGGTATGTAAACAATGACCTGCATTCACCGACCTAAATACATGCTTACAATACCCATGTCATGTCAGCATCTTATTGGCATAATATTTATATTTTACAAACTCCAAAGTTCCGTATACTCACTTGTCATATGGACGGGATCCCCACATGTGGGCGGCGCTGTTCACCGACCACGTAAAGTTCAGGCTGCTCACGTAACGGAAAAGACACTGCTGGATGAAGGCCAGCGCCCAGGTCTCACCCCAGCAGTAGACCGGGATCACGGTGGGCAGGATAAAGCAGAAAAAGGTCTTCAATGGTATAAAGTACTTCTGATGGAAACGTATCACGGGATCAGCCAGAATATCGGTCATGTCAATTTGACGACCACGACGTAGCACATCCGGATGCTTGAGCATCATCAGCCAGCCCACATGGGCAAAGAAGAAGCCACGGTTGGCATTATGCGGATCTGCATCCGTCTCCGAGTACTTGTGGTGGACTCGATGATCACGCACCCAGTCGTACAAAGTATTCTGAAAGGAAATACAAGGGATTAGTTTTCCCAGTTAAGATTGCACTTAATTTTCCCCAGTGCATAAAGAGACGCCTCTGGGAGCTTCCGAATCTCCCAGAGACTGTGCCTTTTTGTGGGTCAACGGGGCTCATTTAACACGTCATTAAATTTGATAGTTCCTCTTAATCTTCAGGTCGCTCAGTCGCTCAGTGCTCGCATTGTACTGTATCTTTCCCAGTCAGAGTCTAAGCCGCTGCGCTTAATCGCTGCGGCCATTAAATAAGACAAATGTATCTGCGAGATACTCGAACACAAAGGCAAGACTTTTGCCAACCGCCGGCGCTGCCACGAGTAGTTTGAATTGTCAATTTTTACAGTTTGTCAGCGGCGACAGGCATTAAGTTGTTATAGTTAATGATGCAATTAATGTTAATTGCATTACAGACCCGAAAAAAAAAACACCGGAGAGACAAAAAAAATAAAACCAAACCGAAGGTGGCGCGTCAAATGAATTGGCAAATTGCGGACGAGTCTGCAGGTGGTGGCATTCGCGATCCCTGAATATAAATCAAATTGACTCTCACCTGTCCGGCCACACAGTAGCAGACCATCAGAATGGATCGCAGCACCGGGTTGGCCTTGTAGCTGCGATGGGTCCAGAATCTGTGGGCTCCGGCCGTAACTCCAAAACCGGCCACGCCGCCAACGAAGAATGCTGAAGAAGAGTCAAAAATATATATAATTGTAAGTGCTGCTGGGCTATAAAGTGTGTCTTGCGTGCTAATTGGATGCGAGATGAAAAACCCGAAATTACATTTCCGCAAATTGAGCTATTCGAGGCTGGGTGCTAATTCCGCCGACAAACAAATGGAGTATAAAAGAGAGACAACCAAGATACCGCACAAGGTCTAATGTTTAGGGGGAACTATTTGATCTCCGGTGAATGACTGATCACGATTCCGGCAATCATCAGAAATATGCGAATCACCCGAATCACCCAGTCCAGACTCTGCCATTAGTTCCTCAATTAGAATATGCAAAATGCCATTGTCACCCCATCCCATTGAATCGGTTAATTGTTTGGGACAATTAGAAGTAATGATTCCAGCATCATTACACCTGTGAGAGGGGCTGCTTTCCGCGTCACCTAATCGAAGAGGAGCTATACTCCCCAGCCTCGCACATTTCGGCATCCCCACTAATGAACTATTAACGATTTCTCTGAATGGGAATTTCATCGATCGATTGATTGGTGGAAAGATTAACCTCCACCACACGTTGCGACAGAAACCAGTTCCGCCTTACCAAAAAAATATAATAAAAATAATAACAATTAAAGGCCAACAGAGTGCGGAAATGATCAAACTTAACATTGGTATGACCACAAATGGGTGTTACCAAAGATTTTGGAGTGAATTGTAGATCAAAGATCGATTTATCGGTCATTTAAAGAAGGGGGTTTGGTATTTATTTAACTAATTTTAGAAATATCTGTAACATTTGTGACATTTGTTTAGTAAATTACAAATCAAAGTAGCTCTCTTGTTACCTTACTTGGTTTCTCCTCTAATTTATATAAAATATGCATTGTTTCCGGTCGTTGTTTAAACTCTATTGCAACTGCATTTGAATATTTTTCGGTTGTTATTGGAATCTCCTGTTTAAATATTTGAATTTCAAATGCAGTGCAGCGTTCAGGCCCATGCAAGGTTCAAGTTCAGGCTATTTCACAGTCTTCTTTTGTTATTTCCACCGAAATTAGATTTTGAGTTGACTTGCAGATCGCTGAATAATCGCTTAGCTGCATTACATATTCCTATATTGATCCCACGACTAGAAAATAGACAAAACAACAAATATGTGTCCCTGAGTCTAAAATAAGGTGCGTTGACTTTGTCTCGACTTAGCTTATTTTTTGGCCAGCTTCATTAGCGCCCAATGTTAACGCTCTTATGTAAGTCCCCTTTTGGCGGCGGCCTTTTTTCTCTCCCTTGAAGTCTGTCGAATTTAATCAATATCTTGGGGCGAAGCACGACAATTTTCGCCATTTACAAAACCGGGAAAAAGATTATAATTCCCAGGCAGCATCTTTAGGCGTTGCACGTTCGCCGGGCAATTTGCCAAAATATTTACGAGTTTCGACGCCCCAAATAGGGACATCGTTTATTGCAAGGATACTCCTGGTATTTCGCCCTTTTTTTTTGTTGTATTATTCAGAACCTGTCCCGACCGCACAATGCGCAATAAATATTGAAAATGACTAGGTATTAAGGCATTTTTCGCTGTGCTGCCATTAAGAGGGAAGTACCCAAGTACCCCAGCATCAGCATCGTATGCTCTGGTAATTCCAATGAAAACGAAATCGGTTACGGAGGATCCCCATTCCACCAGAGACGGCTCTTTTCAATGTCAACTTATTTTTTTGCTTTGCCCTGCTCGCATGTGTAGTGCTCATAAATCGAGTCAGTGTTTACCGAGCGGATAAATCATCTTACGAAATCTTTGACTTTGGAACAAGTACTCGGAGTTATGGCAAGAAGGGGATAGGTACAGCTTAATAATCTACGAAATCTTTAAGCCAACAATTTTGGATTTCAATGGGGAACAAGATAAATTTATTGATTAAAATCAACATGAAATTTAAGTTAGTTAAAGGGTTCCAAGAAGCAGATTTTTAAGCAAAATCGAGATCAAAATTAAATAGTGTTCTTAGGTGAAGAATGACTAATGATTACTAGCTCTAGATATTTGATAGAAGTTTTTAAAAATTTATAGAAAATATTTCTAATCATAGAACCTATTTCCATAGAAGATCCCCGAAATTTCTAGCCACCAAGGCTGACTATTAAGTTCGAGGTTCAAATACAGTGGGGCTGAACTGTCGAAGACCTAAATAAATTTGTGTCAAGCGATTCTTGTTTCCATTTCGCGCTCTTTCTTGCTCTCTTGGCCGCGTATTTGTGCCCAGCACGTTTTGTTGTTTTTATTATTATTATTATTTTAGTTTTTTTTTATTGAAATCCACCTGTGTCAGTCAAATTTTTGTGCTGAGACTGAAATTGCATGCCAGCCGAAAGCACAGAAAGCTGAAGACTCGCGACTCGCTATAGCCAATGAAAGAGATTTCAACACCCAGACTTTTAACAAAAAGCAGAAGCTGAAGGGCAGCTGAGGAAATAAGGGGTAGAGTACACGGTAGAGCAACTTGTTAAGCAGTAATCAATTAAAGGCAATAACAAGGGGACGCGTTTTGTAATGGCCCAAAGAAATAAAACGCCAAAGGGGCTTTTGGGCGCAGGGCGCGTTAAATTGCAAATAATTGTTGGGGCAACACTCTGAAGGGGAGTGGAGGCCGTAAAGACAACATCATCATCATCAGCGACACCATCCACAAACCAGAAACACTCAGAGAAAATATATATAACTATTTCAGATTGATATTGTTTCATTTTTTCTTTAAGAATTTATAATCATCCGAAATCCCAAATAACTTCTAATGAATCCTTTTAATTAAATTTTAATAAAACTAAAACCAAACCCAAGACAATCTAACTGATGTAAAAAACAACATTAATTTCTTTCAGTGTCTTATTTCAGTGGTCAGCATCGATCAGAGATGACTCTTTGTTTTCACACCATTCCCCCATCCACCTTTTTCCCGGGTCTTGAGTTGATAGAAAGAGAGAGTGAGCCACATTACGCAATGCCGGATGGGATGAATGGGGTTTGGAGTTGGACGATGGTCGGACCACACCACGTATGACCCCGATAGATTCGATATACTTACACCATATGGTGGTATAAATGTTGAGCTCGCGCAGCGGATAGGTGAACAGACAAACTAATGCCGCCAGATGAAGCAGCGAGATCTGGATGACTTTGTCCCACTTGAGGGGGGCCTTGAACTGGATGCCAAAGACGCGATCGCCCACAAAGGTGCGGGTATACTCCTGGAGATTTATCTTATCCTTGGGCACGTGATCAACGATATCCTTGGGTATGACGCCGCGCGAGGACTGAGAGTCCTGACGGGGTGGAGCGAATTTCGGGCGAGGCGGCAGCTCCGGGGAGGAGTCCTCACCGCGACGCACCTGCTGGGCATCGCCATTGGCCTGGAGCTTGGAGCGCCTGGCCAGGAGCGGCGGAGGACTAGCATCGCCCGGTATGACCGGCGTCTTGCTGCAAACTCGCTCCGAAGTGGACAGGTGACCCATTTCGATGGCTTCCGTGGACTATTGGGCTCTCGCTGGGCTTGGCTTTTGCCGGCGGAAACGGCGTTTCGTAATGCCGCGCGCACACTCCGAACTTTCTTCACAGCTTGACACACTCACACACCGCACAAGAGGCCTTAATTGCCGGAGTACTTGGCTGGCTGGTGAGCCTTGGGCTTGGAGTCTGTCTCTGGCGGAGTTTTTGCTTTCTTTCAGACACACTGTCGCGGGATCGAGTCGATTCGAGGGCTTTCCTGTCAAGGGAGCGCTTGCCTTGGGTTTTTTTTCGCGTCTAACGAACTTAACGCGGCGCCGTTCCGTAGACAAATGATCGTAGCCAAAAGCGTAAGTTCCTACCTATGGCCGCTCACCTGGGCAGAGCTGCAAGCAGCTGCGCCGAAGCAGACAGCGACTGCGGCAGAGACAGAGACTAGCTGACTGATTGACCGACTGACTGACGACGGAGTTCCGACGCACAAAGGTAAGGCGAAGAAAGAAATGGAGAGACAACAGGCAAGAAGGCCAAGATTATGCCACCACACACACACATGGAGACTCTACACACGACCAACCACCTGTAACTGCCATCGATCTTCGGCTCCAACTTCGGTTCCAGCTTCGGCTTTAGCATAAAGCCTCGGCTCCCCACTTCGGCTCCACTTGGTCGCAGAATCAGCAGCGCAGTCGAGGCGCTACCTCGAATTTACGCGAAATGTGCGGGGCTTTGGGTGTCATGCATCAGTAGGTCAAACTTTGTCTCCCTAGGTACACTCAAGTCACACTCGAGGCTTAGGAAAGAGACCCGGGGGAATGGCCACATTCACTTGTGTTATGGCTTAAACAGTCGTAATTTTCATGCTGCTTTCCCTATAAATAATCTCAGGGCGGTGTTACGCGAAGAACACTATTTTACTTCCTCAAATTAAATTTAATTGGGGATTTGAATGGACTTTTAAGACAACAGATCAATGATATAAGACCTCTTGGGACTGGTTTAGGTATATAGGGAAATTAAGGGGTCTTAAGCCTTAGATAATGATATGATATGATATTATCAATATCAAAAGACTGGTTTTAGATATTATTTTATATTTATATTTCAAATAATTTATCTTGGTCCTTTATTGCTACAAGGCATTAGACAAAAGAGTTCTTTAAATTCTTTAAAGTCTTTAAAGCTTATTCCATCTTCAACTTACACAGTACCATGAAGTCTGCCCTCATATTTGTAATAAAATATGTATGTTGATTCTCGCACCTCGCACCTTTCCAGCTCGACTTGACCATCGCTGCGCCACCGAGGTGACCGCCAAGAAGTCTGCCGGCACTCCTTGTCCATTACTCATCCAAGTTTTCCAATCAGTGAAGCTCTGGCGCTTCTAATTACATTTGCCAATTCGAATTAAGATTTGCTTATCAGTTTTCAACATGCCAATTGGTAAAGCTACAAATTAGCAATCTTGATCTACTGTTGTCAAGGCCCTAAGACCCACCATATTCCCGTTATATTCTAGATTTAAATGAGACTCTACACACACCTTTTAATTCCGGCGATTTCTTTTTCAAACGCAGTCAGCGGATTCTGCCATTCTGCTGCCCATTTGCATACCCACAATCTCTCCTTTTGCAAGCCCAAGATATTTATTGAAAAATCACAACAACAAAAATCGATTCCAGTCATCATCGCTTAACTGGGCTTCCACTCATCTCCGGGTGTGAGTGTGTGCGTGGTGTTGACCAAAGTCAAAAGCCGTTCGATGATCATGAAGTTCAGCAGCCGAAAACCCCAAAAAAAAAAAAAGCCAAAGACTGGAGACTGAAAGAGTGGGGAACGGGTAGTGGAGACGAGAGACTCCAGACCGGAGACCCACTGAAGACGAGAGTTGCTTTCTCTTTATGTAACCGCGGCGACAGAAACAGAAACCGAACTTAATTAAATCCAAAAGCAAAAGCAGCGAACCCGCGGCGAAATAAAACCGCCGGCCAAAAGGAAGCCCTGGCCCTGGCCCCATCGTAAAATGTGTGTTTACAGCTCCCCAATCCCCCAAAAAACCAAACTGCCATCCGTATCCAAATCTGCGGACATTCAGAGTGTCACGCGACCCGAACCCTTTGATCTGGACCCACTGTGAATGCACTACAAAAATTTATTTCTTTCTGAAATGAAAATGTACTATAATAAAAGATGTTTTTACTTTTTGAAAAAGTGGAAATACTGGATAAACCAAATGAAATCCAAAATTTAAGGCATGGTTTTTAGAACTTTTTTCATATATGAAATATTTTTAAAATTGCCAGAATTCTTACCTATATTGTTTGAAATTGTATTTACATTTTTAAAATTTTTAATCTATTTTAAAGCACTTTTTTGTTAGAGTGTGTGAACAGATAGATGAATGGCGTTGAACTGTGAAGGTATGTATCTGCAAGATGCTGTTGATGAGGTGCTGATGTTGTAAGCACCGGCCATTAGCCAATTATGCAAAAGGCACAGAAAAACGCTTGGAAATTGTCCGGAGTATGCTTTGTTTATAAACAAACAGCCCAAAACTCGAAGCCATTGGAAACCACTTTGATATATTGCGCAGCTTCTCTCTTTTCGCACCGTCAGCGTTTTATATGAGCTGGCGGCTGCTTCAGGGTTCTGACCGAAAAAAGTTCCCCGAACAAAGCCAGCACTCTATTATTCAGTACTCATATATAAATATCTTTTAAGCCCAATTTGCTTCCCCGTTCCACTGTTCTTGGCCGCACGCTCAAAAGGCTGCCATTCATGCGCAAGAGACTTCAATTTGCCATCGATTAGTCCGTGAATTGTTGGCTCTTTTTACCAAATTCAGCAGGGTCTGGTATGACCCCTCAGCATCCAATACACACACCTGTCCGAATCGAACCCGGGCTTGGGCATTGGGCCATGTGGTAGCCACAGTCATAGACATAGCCATAGTATTTCACAAGCCGTCTAGTCAACAGCGATTTTGCGTACTTCACGTATTTGTGCAACCTTCAACTGTCGCTCAGTCGGCTTATGGAAAACAAATTAACACTAAACAAAGCGCAGAACGCGACGCGACTGCAATTTGCCACAGAGCGGAGCGGATCACAGATCTCAGATCTCGAATCTGCCACAGCACAAATGGCGGTGAAGTGAATAGGGATACACTGGCAGAAAGTCAGGGAATCAATTGCTAGAAAAGTTATTATTCAGGTAAATATTAAAAATATAATGAAAATATAGGTAACAACTTAAGGGATAGGGATTACAAGATATAACCTAGAACTTCCTTGAATTAATTATAATTCCCAACTGGTATTGGACGAGAGGTTCCGAAATCCTTTCAATTGATGGTATTCTTCTTTCTTTGTAAGACTTTCGTAAGTAAAAAATGGAATTAATATACCTTGAATTAAACCCTTAAATTAATTAACCAAAAAAGATGAAGTACCTTTTCCCTTCCCAATAAATCTATTTTTTAGGTCATAAAAATGTTTCAAGTGTACCAGCTTTTAGCAGGCAAATTCATTAGTAATCACTTCAGAGAGCTGGGGTCATTAGGAATTGGTACAAGTGGCCGCCTCGAATGTGAGTCAGTGGAGTTGCGTTGAGTGTGAAATGCTCAGACCCCGCCAGTATTACGAGGTGTTAGCGGGGCGGAGTTATTAGAATGGCCCGAGACCCAGAGTCTTTAGCATCGATCGATGTGATCCAAGTCAGGCGTGCAGTTTGCCTAAACCAAGTTTAATGAGCAAAACTTAGGGTTTGCGAAGGGGTGGGCTGGATAAAAAGGCTTCTGGGCAGGCACTGGGGCACTGAGTGCGGTGTCAATATTGACGTATCAATCAGCGACACAGCCACTGGGCACACATTGCGTATGGGTAATAAAATCATCAGGCGCAACCCATTAAACCGGCGAAAAGCACCTGACGATGCCGCCCATAGGTATGTCCACTTCCACATTGGATCCCGAAACCCAACCGATCATGGGAAAGCAAACGAAGCGATTGCCAAACCAATTGGCATTTGTAAACAATCCGAAATAGATAGAGGCGGTGAACTCGAATTTTGGGTTCGAAATTGAATTGGAGAGATACACTAAAAGAAAATGGAATAAGGAAAAGAAAAGGGTAGGGAAAACTATATTCATTGTCTGGTTTTAGATATAAATTTATCTCTAATTATAAACTAATAAATCTATTACTTATTTATATACATTTTTGATTATAAATTCAATCTCTTGAGCTATAGTCCTTTCACCACCTCAAAACTATTGATCAGTTATGACTATCTAATTATTTATTTTAATCTTATAAGTTCGCATTTCAAGCTTTTACGATTTTGATCCAAGGTTAATTTTGAAAAACATATAAATATACAAATATGATAAAAAAAAAACCCGTAAAAACTTTGCAACTTTATCGTAAATCATAATTTGTAATCATTATAAATTTGCTGTAAGATCAGTCCCACTATTTTTTTTGCTGTGCATAAATGGAAATGCATAATTAGGCCGACCTGTGATTTGTAAGCTTGTTTGTTTAGTGTTGGGAAACCCGCAGGCCCCGCCATGTGCATCCCGCCACGCCCACTCGCAGGCCTCCCACTTCCACTACCAATTCCAGTTCCCCCTTTGGCAGGTGAAGCCCACGAAAAAAAACCACGAAGTTCGAACTGCACCTCTGTTTACCGAGTTTTTATGCTGTCCAATAATTAGGCCCTCAGTTTACTCTACACCGAACCCCTCCCCCCTTATTTGTTGGCGGTTAATTTATTTTTACGACGGCCATTTGTCGCTTCATCTTAGTAGATGACGAATTGTGCAATATGCGAATAAACATAAACTAAATTAAAGAAAAATACCCTAAGCAAGATAGTTAAATTAAGCTCTTAAAAGAACAAGCAACTAGAAATTCATTATTTCTATAATAAAATATAATATACAAATAAAATAAACATTTGCAAACTTGAAACTTGAAATAAGGCTTAATATACCCTTACTTTATGTCAACATATTTTACATAAACTTCTCTCGATTAAGAAAATGATTGGTGGGCAGCGCATTCTCCTCCAACTGCACCTCCTCCTCAATGCACTCGACTATCGGTCGACCCGTTTCCACTGCCTTTGTAAGTCCTTGACGCACCACCACGGATCCTATAGTCTTCAGATCCTTGGCCCAATCGAGGGCGGCAAACACACGGATCATAGCCGAACCAATACCCGAGGCATAGTCTCCAAACTCGCCGCTCTGATAATCCCGGGGAAGCAGGTAATGGTACTGCGGCCAGTAGCTCTTGGTGATCAGGAAAATGCTGTTCGAGTCCGTGGGCTTAAAGCCCTTGTGGATGCTCCAGATGAAGTGGGAGGAATGAACCAGGTTACCCAGGTTGATTACAATAAGGCTACGCAGCCAGAAGCCCACAAACATGGACGAGGAAATGGAGTCACCAAAGTACTGGAAAGGTGTGTTGACCGAGAGCAGTACGTTGAGGAAGATGTATAGCAGAACATAGAAACTGTAAGAAAAGGATAATGTACAGATTAAGTTAATAGAATAGAAGGTCTACCCACCGCTTCTGAAACATCACAATAGCATCGTTCTCCAAATCAGACATATCAATATCCTTGAGTAGCTCTTCCTGCTGGGGCGAGTACTTCAGCAGGCCGCCTCGCACCTGGGCATACATAAAGCTATGCTTGCTGTAGAAAGGATCCTCATCCTGCTGGAACTTGGCATGGTGTAGTCTATGGGCCTGCACCACACTGTAGATGGAGCCCTGAAACGAAACAAATAAACCAAAATATAAAGTTTAACCGATTAGGTTTATGTCTTAGCTAAGAGCAACTAAAAGCTTTTTCCCAGAGGCGTAGTGGTAATAACTAACCTGACCGGCTGTGGACTGGCACAGCATAAGAAAAACCCTTAAAGGTTTGGAGGCCGTGAAGGTCCTGTGCGCCCATAAACGGTGAACACCCACTGTAACGCCCATGGTGCCCAGAAGGGTGAGTAGAGCAGCTGCAGAAAAAATTTGGAGGCCACAAGGTCAGCCGAAAATCCAATTGTTAAGCTGCACATGGAGCTGATTAACCCGGCGAACTCACTAAACAGAATCGTGGCCCACGAAGCGCTGGTCAGCAGTACATAGATCCCATAGACACCGAGGATATTCATGTGGATATAAAACAGAACCAATGGCCAGATGGCATCGCGCTTCTTATGGGAAGAGTCCCCGGTTTGATTCTGCTCCTTAACCTTAGTCTGCTCCATTTTTGATATCCTTTATTCCAGTTCGTAGTCCTTAATCGCAATCGTACCGACTTCCACGGCGGTTTAGAGTCTACTAAAACCCCGCCGTAATTACAAAATCCAATGAGGCGAAAGTACGGATTTTACATACAACAAAAAAGGTTAATTGCATATGCATGGACCTCGGCAGTGTTTCAATTAAAAGGTGGGTTAATATAAAACATAGTTTATTGACCCGCAGGTAAGTAACGAAAGCAACGAAGGGGGGGACCAGCGTCCCACCACCGAAAACAAGGGGTATCAACGCAATACCGAATGGAGTTTATCTCAAAAGCAGGTTTAGTTAAATAAATCACATCCCCCAATATAATATCCATTCGGTACTTGATGACGCCTCTTATTTCCGGCTTACAATACAAGGATCCTAGTGATCCGGGATGGGGATGGGCATGGGTATATGGGTAAATGGGTTATAAGGCATGCATGGCTTGGCGACTTGTGGTGCTGCTACAAACTTAATACTATGAAACCACAGGCTGATACACTGGCTCAGTTTTGCATCTTGGCCAGTTCCACGAGGTCCTCGCAGGGAATGTCCTTGTCCCCGAAGCCCCACACTGAGTCTTTGTGGGCGAAATCATCGCTCAAGAAGCGAGTGCCATCGCCGCACTTTTCAGCTCGCCTGATAACCATGTCCTGAGATACCGATTTCCCTATAGAAATTAAGAATAAAATCAGTTGGGTTTCTTCAAGGGATTAAGGCTAGAACTTACTTCCTTTGGCCAGGCCCAGCCAGGCGCAAAAGTCAATGAAGCCAGTGGTAATGTTGAGGCTGTAGTTGCCGAACTCGCCCGTCTTGTAGTCCCAGGGGAAGACGTGGTGATAGTTGTGCCATCCCTCTCCCATGGCCAGCAGGGAGACGATGGGTGCCTCAACGGACATGATGTTCCTGGAAAATAATACATTTTTATTAGATATTTTTATTAACCACAAAGTGATCACTCTTACTTGTCGTAGGGCTTGTTGCCGTACATATGCGCCACACTGTTCACAAAGAAGGCCACGTTGAGTGTCCAAGTAAAGCGCATGTTAAAGTTGATCCAGAAGGACATAAAGAGGTCCTCGTTCCAGAAGTACCAGGGCACAGCCACCGGCAAAATGATGGAACAGAGGGCAAAGAGGGGTATGTAATATTTGCGCTGGAACATGCACACGGCATCGGCCTCCAAATCGGACATGTCAATGACCTTGCGCTTGGCCACCACTTTGGGATGTGGGGTGAGAAATAGCCAGCCCACATGGGCAAAAAAGAAGCCTCTCTTGGCATTGTGCGGATCAGCATCCGTCTCAGCGAACTTGTGGTGTATCCTGTGGTCCAAGGCCCAGGTGTAGGCATCTCTCTACAAATACAAAATATATTTTTAATTAATTGAAAACAATTTAATGGATTTTGTAAAAGATAAAACTCACCTGACCAGCAATGGAGAAGGCAAAGGCCAACAGAATTCTCAAAGGCAGCGAGGCTGTGTATGACTTGTGCGACCACAGACGATGGGCTCCTGCCGTAATGCCGATTCCGGAGACCCAAACGGTGACCACAACTGATAGAAAAAAACAGCCAACAGTCAGTTGTCATTGTCTAAACAAACAAACAACAATCCCAAACATACATATGTATATTCACATACATCTGAACGCTTTTATATATATGGCCATTCAAATAGTTGGCACTGGTGACGCTTCTCGCTTGATTTGCTCAGCGGATGACACAACGCCGGGCTCTAAATATATCTATCTATTCCCAGTTCTGTGCTCTCCGCTCTCCGTTTCTTCGAGGTGGCCCATTTGGGACGCCTCCCGCGGGGAAATCTGTCCCGCCTCGATCACTATTCGAAATTGGAACGAGCCAAAAGCAATTGAGGCGTTCGTTAACTTCAATTGAAAATTGTCACCGGTCAAAGTTCAGAGCCCGGCAAACAAATATGCATATAACCTGAGGTTGTTTATCTATTACGAAACCTTAAGTCTAAAGTGTGTCATCTATGACCCGAAATATAATATAGAAATATAATAATATAGAAAATTTGGAAAGACTTTGGTTTTTCTTCGTAATAGATTATGATTTCATTGAACCAAAAGGCTTTGTTACTTTGTAAAAGACTTTTACTATATACAAATATAAATTCTAATAGTTAACTTAAATGATTTTCTATTCCTACAAGTATAAGTAATATTTTAACCCTATATTATCCCCATTTTCAACAACCATTAATATATATTGTACCCCTGTTTTATCCTCTAAAAATCTCCATGCAATATCCATCGATTACATCAGCCCCTAGTGACTTGTTCAAACTAATGACAACTAATTTAAACTGGCCCAGTTAAGAGACACAGGCGTTAGTTACAAAATATCTAGTCTAGTCGCGTATCTGAACCCTGTTTGCATGTTGGCAGATGCAATTACCGCCTAGGGGGCTGTACACCATTTACCTCCCCCAGATGTTAATTAGGGGGGCATTCAATGGACAAAACAGTGGACACTCACCCCAGAGGAATGTGTAGAATTTTGCGTAGAACAGCAGGTACACTCCATAAAGAGCGCCGACATGCAGGAAGGTCTGGGCACCCAGATCCGGCCATCTGATCTGTGGCCGGTACTCCTCCTCCTCCTCTACCTCCTTTGACTTTTGTTCCTGCTCCTCCTGCAACTTGGCCGTCTCAATGGCATTCTCCTTGTAGACGGCATTCGCCTCCTTGTAGCCTAAATTGTCGTCGTCTAGGTCTGTGGTGGTGTGCTTGCCTCTGTGCTTAAGCTCTCCTCCGTTGGCTACGCTGGTGGTGGTGCTGCGGTTGCCGTTTCTGTCCAGGGTGCAAGAGCCATTGCAATGTCCAACAGCCTGTGGCTGAGTCTGGCCGGGGATGGGTGATGAAAGGCACATGGCGAGGTCTGTGAATGGATTGTTATGGGGTTTAGTATTATTTGTTTTTTAAGGTTAGCAAGTCTAGCCATTATTTATTAAAAATAAAGTGTGATCCCCCTTAAAGAATCCAGAATTCTTATAAAGAAAATAATTGACAAAAGATGCAAAAGTTTTGTGGTTTACAAAAAAGTTATTACAACAATATAAAAATAGTTTAAAAATTCCACAATTATTATTAAGGTATATCACTCATACGCAGGGTTGCCCTTTGGGGTATGATTAGCAAATTAATTTGTTTAGTTTTTAGCTGTAAGCAGTGGCTAAGCTTTTCCTTGTCTTAAGACTTAGGTCTCCCTAAACAAGCTCTTCAAGAATATAACATTTTTTTACCAAAACCAAAGTAAACAATCCAGGTCTAATAGTGTTTCATTTTGTAAATATTTGCAGATCAACAATCATCTGAGACTAGTTATTGTTGGCAAAAGCCCATTTTAAACACCAGAACTTTTCTCGCTGTGCAATCAAAGCCCAAAGCAAATCCTCAGAGACTTGCTAATTGAAGTTTAGGACGGCTATAACCGCGCACTATTAGCAGCCTTTTCAGAGAGTTTCGACTGTAATTGGTGTGAAAACTGTTGCCAGCCTCACGTGCCACGCCCACGGCGCGAAAAGGGTTTGCTCTGGATATTAACAGATATATATTTGTACACCATAGACAAACATATATATGCTTAAAGCTTACCGGCAGAGTCAGGGCCAATACCGCATCGTGGCTTATCGCCTGCCTGCGAGTGCCGTGTTGCAATCACCGATCTGCAAGTTCGCACTATCTGGTAAAAAACAAATAGAGCTACACTACATCATTAAGGCCGCCATAGAAAACATGGTGAGTCATCTGCAGGTGCACGCAGGTGGGCATCTATCTGCTTATTTGGAAGTTATTCCCGGCTGAATAGTCTGATACTCGAGTGGCAAAATGTAGGATTCTGTCTAGTCATTAGCACTATCCAAGTGGCTGGGATTTTGGCTAGGCAACCCGTAATCTCGTACAACCAATTGCCCCACAGTTCTCTTATCTCAACGCCACCTCCAACTCTACTACCACTAACCATAAAACATAACAAATAAGATCCATAAAGTGGCTTTTTGACCATGAAATACCCCTTAATAAAAATGAATTGTTCTGTGTCTGGAGGTTTTTTTAGGGATAAGTATTATACAATAAATAAAAGAAACAAATTAAATAATAATATGAATTTAGTTTTGAATCTAAAGACCTATTTCAAATTCCCCTCACAACTTAATAGTGTTATTGTCTGGTTACTCTCAAACTAAATCATTTAACAGAGGCTAATATAGCATTGGTTATACGGAAAATATACAGTGATGATCTCTGTGGTATAGAAATTTAAATATGTATAAACAGCTTAAGGTGGATGAGAAAACTAAACATGCCAGAGCTTTTGATTTTTGATTTTATGAGAGTGATAAACGAAGGTAATATGCCTTGGGACTACTCTGTAGATTTACATTTAAGGGGAGATCAGGCTGTTGCCTAATCTTAAATGATACTTGAATCATTTAAGATTTTAATAATTTTATAAATTATTTTATTTAGTATCTGGAAGCTATCTCTCTTATGATGGCAGTTATTGTTTCAGGGCAAAGAAATTCAACTGTTTGTTTGGCGCAAATATTTATCGTATACAATCATAAAATAAAATTGTAGCCTTTGATTTTATTGTGTCACACTCCCCGCCAAGAAAGCCATATACCTTTGGACTCGAAGAACACTAGGTATAGACGCCGACGCTCCCGCAGAACGTTTCCTATAATTTTCGGAAATTCTCGGTCTGGGGGAAGGTGGTCGATCCGAACCATACCTCGTGCGTGTGCGACCAGTGGGTTTATATTGCCTCGCTGATAAGCACTGCACACCTGGCACACATTTTCCATTTCATCTTCTTCTTGTTTGACCCCCCCTCTGCCCCCGCCACTTGATTCATTCAAAGTTTTTGGGGGCTAACATGGTTGATAAGAGGCTATCAGCTATTGCAAATACTCGAGAACGATTATTGCCATCGTGATTCACTTTCTGTCTGACCCCTTCAGGTGTTCCATGGCCCATGAGTAATTGGTAGTGTCGACGAATCGCTTCCCTTACGTAAGTCTGGCGGAGATAAGATTGGCGGGGAAATCGTTGGAATCACAATTTACATATTGATAAAAAAAAGCGACCACACCAGACGGGGTAGACAAAACACGCCCCGCTTTGCATTCGCATTTCCCATTTAATTAGAAAATGTAGCCACGCAGGCTAATTTGATGGGGGGAACTATCTACATATATGAATGGTATATGTATCAGGAGGTATATGGAATATCTGAACAGACTTCTTGACGAACGCTGCCACAAGAATAGATCAACATTTTCATTGGGTCTGAGCACGCGACTGGAGCATGCATAAATTAAATTCCATATTCGGAGGCCACTTCCCGGCCATTTGCCTAATTTCCAAAATTTGGAGGAAACCACTCGAAAAAACACTTCAAAACTAGGGGTTCTCTATATAACAGAGAACTCAAAGTAAAGGTTTAATTGTTCTCGGTTAAAAAATATTATTAAACTTATTTCATATTTATCTAAGCTCTTTTAAAGATATTTGTTTGCTTGTTGATCTTGTATTCCCCTTAAAATTTATCTTGGCTTTTATTTAAATAAAAACACAAACATTTTCCCCAGTGTTTATGGCAACTTGGCAACGCACTGCAACAATCTATTTCGCCCCAATAATAAATAATAATAAACAATAAGAGCAGCCGTCGCTCCCCCCCGTCACATAGCCACTATTTTATTGGCATTCGCCCCGTTCGCTGTGGAGTGTTTTTATTTCTAGTTTGCAGTGCCAGCAGCGATAAAGTTGACCGCCCATCGAAAAGTTCTGGGTATGTTCCCGAATACCTCCCTGCTTTCTAAACCCTCCTAGACATGGCTAATTGCCTGATGGCTCGCACGTCGCCTATCACCGACTATGCTTCTATATCGTCACTCCCCGACCGATCCGATTTTAAAGCCAAAATGCCGAATTTTATTGGAAATTTTCCACAATATATAGATGGGCTGCTTTTGGGAGAGCGACGGAGAGGAAAGCCTCACAGATTTCCCGCAAAAGGCGAGAGATCAAGTATTGCCACTTGTTGCCCTGTTCCCCAGCTGGCAACTTTAATTGTAGCATTTTTAACGGTCGTGGGGTAATTGAAGGCACTCGCTATCTAGAAATAATTCAGACCAGATCGCCTAGCTAACTATAATTACACTGAGGAAAAGATTATGTGAGTTTCACACTAAAGAATAATTCTGAAAATATTGTGATGTATTTCAAAGAGTATTAAATCATTCCAAACGACAACAAAAATACAAAATACCATAATAAATGTCTCGCAAAATCTTGTGTTATATTTAATGGTTTGAAATATTTTTATATAGTATTTTCAGAGACTTTTTCGCAGTACTTTAATGCTATGTTTAATGTTTATTTCTTGCTAAAAGGGTGCCGATAAGGGATTCCGCTGAACTAGCAAGATTGTGTGTGGGGTTATTGGTTATGGGAACCCCTCTTGGCATTTTGTTTATTGACTTGGCAATGAGGAGAAATTGAACATTAACCTGATTCGGAAAATTTAGTTTAGGTTGGCAATTCGGTTTTTTTTTTTTAATTGGAATATTGTTTAATTAAATTCGTTTTATATTTGAAACTACGCTTCGATTTACAATGTAAATTTGTTTAAGGGAAAATTGCATTTTGCACAGTGGGGCAAGAGCAATGGTTTTAAAATGATTCTTAGTTTCATAGAGTAAAGAGTAATAAATTGAAAAAAAAAATTATAATCATCTAAATAAAATCATAGAAACTTTAATAATATTATTATAAAATTTTAAAGAGCAAAAAACTGTTTCGTTAAATATTCTGGGTTATTAAATCCCTATTTTTTGTGATTAGTTCAACAAAAGCGTTTAAAAATAATGAGCTTATTAATTTTAATTTAAATTAATTTCACTAAATATATCCCCTAATTAAATATTGCTACCCATTTATGTACTATTCGTTTGCCACTAATTCCTTGAATTTTCCCAATTTATAAAGTGTTCTAGGGTTCTGGAAAACCCCCTTTTAGTCCGGGGAAGGCGGAGTTAGTCAGTCTGTTTTGGTCGGCTTATTGATGTGGGTCAACGCGTGTCGCGGCAATCAAATCGTGAGGGATAATAATGTGTATACAGTCCTAGAGCCAACACCTGGGGGTGGTGGCTTCGAAGGTGGTTCTGGGATCCAGAGGTAGAATGGTTGAATGGTGGTGGTGTGCATGTTATTCGCTCTGTTGACTCCCACTGAAGCCGGCCGACAGCCCCCAAACCCGTCCCCTAATCGACGCCGGTAATGACAGAAATGAGCAAACAATTGGGTTACAATTTGCATGTGAGCAGCGTGTTTTGAAAAGGGGGAGCTGGGAATTGGAACTAGTAGTTGTAATACTACTGAGAAGGCGTGTCTGATTAATTATATTATGCTCCATGACGTCAGGTTTTAAGATGCGGTTTTTAAGGGAATCTATTAGTTAGAGATTCTCGTTGTGATCTTGGCTTTGGCCTTGAACTGTTTGTAAAAGATCAAACTCAAGTAAATAAGTAAAAATAAGTAAATAGAAATGATTTTAAACTCTGGAAAATATGTTTTACTATAATCAAATTCTATAATAAGGAGGGAATTTTAAAGTTGTTAGCACAAATATCTACACAACATCACAATATTCTACATTTTTCTCATTATAAATAACTTGGAATAAAGCACGATCGACCGATTTAAACTTTTCAAAGAACACCCTAATAGTTTTTGAAAAAAGTAGTGTTTTATCAACTAATTTGAGGCACATATTCCCCTTAAAGTTACTTTAAAGATCACTTTTTTGGGAGACGTACTTTTGCTGGATTACTGGGATTCACGGAACTTTGGAACTGTGGAACTTCGGGTTACGGATTCTCGGGATGCGCCGGGATTCCTCGCGATACTCTCACTCTTCTGTCCCTCTTTCTCTGCTGTTGTTGACCAGGCGAACGAACTCAAGTGACTAACGCCGCCCGCCGCAAACGGTCGACATTTACATCCAAGAGCGTGCCCTCTGCCAACGTCGCCGCCGGCGTCAACGTCACTGCCTTTGGCGGCACCCAGAACTATTGCCGGCAGCGACGTCAACCGAGACGCAGACTATCCAATTTGTATTTGTATTTTATTTGTTGTCGCTTGGCTGCGTGCTCCGCAGCTGCGTCTACAGTTATTATCTACCATTCTGTCTTGCCGCCCTGTTCGTCTGCCTCGCCATCCCCCCTTTGGGGCCACCGCACTGTTTACCATTCTCTGTTGTGCTCACACATTCCGTAAACATTACAGCAACAACACGCGCGGTTCAAAGTCAATGCTGCCGCTCCGAAAAGAGAAACCTTCAAGGGGAAAACTATAGGGTATAGGCGACTAAGTGATGCCCTGGCAAGGAATTACGAGGTTTAAATAAACTAGAGTACAATGCCACTAGTATATGACAATACATAGGTTTAGAAATATAATTACTAATAAATAATTATAATAAATTTTGAATTATACATTTTATAAAGACATTGATTCTATTTCGTTTTATTATCATTTCGATTTCACCTTTATGAACTTATTTTCTTTAAGCATATTAAATGTAAAGTCTAAATGTATTTTCCTAATAAATTATTCATTAATTTAATCTCTTTTGTAGTTATTTCTGTATATACTCATAATTTCCTCCTTTTAATTTCCCAATAAATCCCTTACATTTTTATGAGACATTCTTAAAGTAATAAAACCCAGCAGAATCTAAATTAAAAAAGAGTATCCCACTGAGAAGTGGGTGTCGTTTCGCGGCAGAGCTATTGGCGTTGACGTCAGCGTCGCTGCTGACGCTTACGCAGACGCCGGCAGAGCAGCAACAGTCGTGAACTGAAGCCGGCAACGGGTTGTATACTCAATGATGGTATGGTGGGCAACACACAACACGTATACGAGTAGTGGGCCGCGAGTGGGGCACTTATTTCGTCATCGCGTGAGATCCCAGAGCTGTAAATATCGGCCAAGTTCCCAGTCGCTCAATTTTCTTACCTGCTAGCCGACTTTCCCAGAGAGAAACCCGTATTTTTATCTCCCTCTCTCTTGGTCTTGTTACTCAATTTGTTTGTTGCTTCTTCCCCTTGATTATTTGCTGCCAATAGCATCATTATCGCTGGGTCGCTTTTATCTGTTTTTCTGTTTGCGTTGGTGGGAGATTTTTCCTGTTGTTTAAAGAGATAGTAAATACATATGAGAGCGCGAGCATTATGGTCTGGAACTATGCTCTTTTGGAACCGAATTCTAAAAGCGGAAACCAAATGTTTGTCTTTATCGCCGAAGCAATTTAAATTTTCATGGGGTCTGATAACCCGAACATGCTTTGAAATTAGCTCTCTCGATCTCTCTTCCATAACATATCATCTCTCTAGCTTTCCAGTAATTTTTCAAAATTTATTGTTTGCTTTCAGAAAAAAAAAAAAACAACTCTGCGGTGTGAGAAATGATGTAACGTTAGCTCTGGATAAATATAGAAAACTCATTCAGGCAGAGACAGCAGCAGCGGCGAGCCAAGACATTCCGAGTAGCAATACTTATGCGATCATCCAACAGACGCTCACACACGAAGCTTGGTAGTTACTGGCTGCTCTATATATAATATTTGGTTTATCGGGGGCCTTATCAGCCACCGTCTGGCCGAGGGCAGTCATCGTGGAGAGGCATTTTTAACCGCCCCAGAACAGTCTCGTGCTGATTAGGTGGATCCCCCTCCGAATCCTACTCCTGGAATTAAATGTACGCAACCGAGTCGATAAACTGATAAGCCCATAGCCACTCTGCAAATAGCAGCAAGGCGAGAGAAAAATAAATATTTAACCCCTATTAATACAGTTTAAATTGTTATTTTTTTTATCAATGGAAAAAAGATGAAATTGTTATTAATATACCTAGACAACCTATCGCACTTTTTCCAAGTGCAAGTAATAACTGTTAACCACGTTTCAAGTCTGATAGGTATTAGTGACCTATAATCATGATCTACAATCCTATCAGTAGCAAGGCATATGTATACAAAAAAATATATATCTAACTAATTTCTTGGACTAATTTTTTTGTATGCTTAGGAAACAGATACGTATTCGGGGAACATAATCATGATGGTTGAAAAGAAATTGACTTTATAACGAAATAAAGTTATTTCGGCGACTTATTTAATTCCCACTTAAACCTGCTCGCAATTATCGCTTACTTTGAATTTAAGAACTCGATTATGAACTTGAAAACGGTTCCCCCATGATTAACAATTTCTAAATTATGAATATACATATGTAGTTACCCAGCTATATATGTCTGACTAATTTAACGATAACTAAAAGTGCAACTCTTTGGTTAATTCTTATACTCAATATACTTGCCAGATTGTGATTATCGCTTGACTGGAACCCCAAGAATCCGCTGAAAAACTTTAAGTTCCAACGTGACTCAGAAAATCGTCGTCTTCGTCAGCGTTGGCAGGGGATGACATAATAATTTGGGAGAGGGTCACCCATTCCCAAATCCTGCTGCCCACTCCACCCCAAACAGGATATGGTGGGAATCGAGCGGCGACTGTCATAAACATTTTTCGCCAAGAACATGTCAAATAAAATCTACATACAAAGTGCCCTCCATGGCCACTTGTGGAAGTGTGTGGGCAGCGTTTTAATTAGAGCGTGGAATGGAGTTGCCCAAGACGGCCTTACGCATTCGAGGGAAGCGACAAGGACGCACTACTCCAGACACCCACACTCAAGCACCCAAAATGCCACCCTTAATGATAACCATTCGTCTCGAATCGCGCACAATTAGGCACCATCAATAATAGATGACCCGGCGGGGTCATTTAGATAGAATTGCCGATAGCCGGCACCCCAAACTTGTCAACGAACCACCTGTCTCGCCCGTGGAACCACGCCCCCTTGTAACACCACCTCCCATTGGGAAATCCCTAGACAAAACAACAGGCCAGAGACCACAACATCGACAAAATTGTCCGAAATCGAAATCGACATGGACTCGAATCCTTGTTGTGGCCACAAAGTTTTTCTATATTTCCCGAACTTAAAGCCCAGTCCGTGTTCATTCCCATGTTCATGTCCCTGTCAGTTGAAGTTTCTTTGACCCACAAATCCTCACTCCCAACTTTCGTTAGTTTAGTTGGTTAGTTTCCTTTGTTTGCCATCAACTCGTGTAGCATTTCGGAATTGTTGAATTGCGTGATTTCGCGGTTGCTTCTAATTGAATTTCAAAAGTGCAATCAATCGGCTTGGACAGCTTAAACGGACCAGGAATGCACTAATGTCGTAAATAAACCAAAAATAATTGTGGTTAAACAAAGGAGGGAATTTGAACTTATCTGATTGGTAGGCAAAGGGATGACATTACTGACTTGATTGTGATGGAAATAAAACAAGCGAACGAAGCAAAGATTCTTTTAAATTAAAAGTGTAAATTAAAAATCTAAATCTAATATAGAAATAATGTGAGTTAAGATATATTTACTCAGTATGCGATTTTAAAAATTTGTAAATTGATTATCTAACTATTGTAGTTTATTAAAAAGACAGTTTTCCATTGAGATCCCCTTGATATGTAAGGCCATATTTTAGTATAAAAGCCTTGCCTTTTAAGTACTACAAATTTAAATTTAAATCGTATTTTAAAAATATTAAATAAAATTGTTAAATACCCTTTTTTTAAAGGAAAAACTAAAATTTTCAGCTAACCGTGCCTGGTTATTACTTATTTTCTTTTTTAATAAGGTTTAAACAATTTTTTAACAAATTTAAGAATTTATAAAATCGAATTTAAGCATATTTCCACATAAACCTCCCTTATCATCATGAATAATTCAAATGTGGCGCTGCAAAAGCTCTTCTACAGGGTGTTTCGGGTACCACCAAAAGCTGTTTTCCTCGAACCATAATTCAGCCAAAACCATGGGGTAATGATAACCATGAAATTCACACCCCTTCAAAGGGTTACCACCCCCTAATCACGCATGTGATTCTTAAAACGCACAATGCGTGTAATATAACCAAATCCTAAAATGCCAGTTATTAAGGCTACACATGCTAATGAGATGCTCTTTCGTATAATACATAGCCACAAAATGAACCCCTTTTGGCACATGTGTGACTTCTTTAATCAGAGGAAGTGGTCTTGTTCGAAATTACAATTCAAATCCATTAAAAAGCATACGGCGCCAACTTTTTAATTAAGGAGGATGATCAAACACAGCATGGCATTAAAAGGATACCTCAGTCAACCGTGTAATCCCCCCTTTTATGGCTGTCCCTGCAGGATAACTGCTTGGCAGAGGATTACAAATCGAACTTAATCCCCTCCCTTTTAGCGCTGATTAATTACAACACAACAGCGAGTTGACTTAATTGGAATTGTAAGCTTATTTTTTAAATGTTTAATGTTTATTCACGTTACGCTCTCTAGCTCATTTAAAAAACCCATATCTTCTGCACAACAGAAGCGCAGTGACTTTCCCAGATGAACCAACGAACCCACTCGCGACATTCGTTACGAGAACCCGCTCTTAGACATTCAGGTAGTTGTCGGGGAATTCGAAGGTAACGTCACGGCCAGTCAGCTTCTTGTAGACCGAGGTGAAGGTGTCAACCTGGTAGAAGAAACAAAATGCAATAGATTAGTTTTCAGATTTGGGTATAAGTTTTTTAGGTGTACAGCTGCCGTGACCTCCACTGCAGCAGGAAAACTACAGCGAAGATGGCGTACGGAAAGCTGGATTAATCTGCCGCCGATATAGGAAGTCCCAAGCCACCAGAACAAAACAGTGCTTGGGAGGCAAAAAGGCGGTATAGAAAGTGTATCGTGTATTGGTTTTTGAGTTTATATATAAGAATGTTGCATACATTTAGTAACGATGTAGTCCTGGCTAAATTGGACGCACCATTATGGAGTGATTAGTTGCTTTGGTTTGCGTTCTGTTTGACAATCACTGGTTTATAGAAAACAACCAGCAAATAACACAAGAACGTAACTATATAGTTATAATTTCTGAAATTTATATTTTTAAGAAAATGTGGCAAGCATTTAGTAATGCAGCAGCCCTGGTTAATGACGGCTCAACATTGTGGAGTGATTTAGCTGCCTTTGCTTACTATGCGTTCTGTTTGACAATCGCTGGTTTATAAAAAAAACAACCAGCAAATAACACAAGAACGGTGAAAATATTCATTTTAAAGATTTCAAAACTGTAGCGAACAGTTAGTAATGAAGTGGTCCTGGTTAAAATGGACCCATCATTATGGAGTGATTAGTTTTCTGGGTTTATTATGCGTTCTGTTTGACAATCACTGGTTTATAAAAAAACACCCAGCAAATAACACAAGAACGTTGAAAAGACCTTTATATAAAACAGATTTATGCTTGTGGCATACATTTAGTAATGCTCAATTCCTGGCTTAAGTAGAATAAACATTATGGAGTGATTAGCTGCCTTTGGTCTACGTTTAGTTTGACAATCACTGGGTTTGGTTATAACAACCAGCAAATAACACAAAAACGGTATTAACAAAATCTTACTTGTATAGACAATTGTAAACCCTATAAATTCCTTTATAAATGTTATTTCAATAACCTCCATCAAAATATGTTTCAGTTGTGGCATACATTTAGTAATGCTGAAGCCCTGGATAGTCGGCTCAACATTATGGAGTGATTAGTTGCCTGATTTATATGCGTTCTGTTTGACAATCACTGGTTTTGGTTAAAATCAACCAGCAAATAACACAAGAACGGTTGAATGTGACCAAAATGTGGCCAATATTTGGAGATGCAGGACTGCAAAGGCTTCTTAATGCCTGCAATAACGAGTTATTGGCCCTAACTAATCTGCGTCCCCTGGCGAAGATTACCCTCCATGGCAGAGGAGGGCAAATATCGAGGGAACAACCTAACCAACACGATGCACTCTTCCGTATTCCAATTACTTGAGTCAAGAACTCACTTTGTGTTCGATGGTGGTCTGCTGGTTCTTGTCCAGGTGCACCTTGACCAACTGGGAGCCATCCAGCTTGACGCGGATGCGCTTGCCCACAATCTCAGCGGGGAAGACCAGATCCTCCAAGATGGCGTCATAGACGGCCGTCAGGGTGCGAGAGCGCGGGCGCTTCTGCTTGAGGGGATTGCGGGCCTTGCGCGTTGGCTTGGGCAGGATCTTGCGCTCGCCAATCACAACGACGTGCTTTCCAGAGAACTTCTTCTCCAGCTCGCGAACCAGGATGATCTGAATCTTCTGGAACACCTTCTGCTGTGGAATGGGCACGTAGATGATGACGGCCTGCGGGTAAGAGGGAGGGAAACGTGTGAGTTAATGGGTAAATGCCAGCTATGCAAACATACCTTCTTGCTGCCGAACTCAATCTCGCGAGCACGGGTAATGTGCAGGTCCCGCAGGTAGGGCTTCAGGTCGCTGTTGGCCTCGAGTTCCACCAGGGCCTGGGCGATGGACTTCTCAAAGTCATCGGGATCTGCGCCGCCGGGCTTGATAATCTTGGAGCCGATAGCCATCTGCAAGGGCACCAACGCAGGTCAGTACAGGGTACAAACACAATTCAACACGAAAACCGCTTTCGCACAACGCAGCCGCCGCCAACAAATCGCCGGCAATCGGCCTTATTCCGCCAGCATCTCGCCGGGCCGCAATTAATATCTCCATTGTTATTCATTACTTTAACTTTCTGACTTATTATTTAGCAGCACTGCGCTGTGTTTATCGCGGTTTTCGTCCATTTTTCGGCGTCGCTTAAAGAAAAAGTACCACCTTTGTCGACTATTTTGACAGGAAAGGAAGTCGCTGAAAGTGACAGCCCCGAGCTGTCAAAATATCGATTGCGCTATCGATAAGAGCAGGACTATCGATTGGTTTTTAGCAATGCGATAGGAAAGAACGGGGGAAAAGGAAGAAAGTTTTTCTCAAAATTAAACAGAAAATATTTACATAAATTACAGCCAAAATTTCATCTTTCTAAGTTACTTTCAATTTTGCAGTGGCAATAAATTCAGCTCGTCGAGTCTCTAGAAACTGTCAAAACATCGATACACTATCGTATCGATAGTTTTAGTGCCATCAATAGCTTATCGATTATTGATAAAAGATGGTAAAGAAACTTGATAAAGGTTGATTACTTGAACAAAAAAAGGTGCAAAACTTTGCTATAAACATTTATAGTATTTTCTGATTTATTTTGTACTTCTTAGTGACTAAATAAATCAATTTAAACAAATTAATTTAAAATAAGTGTATTAAAATTCAACAAGTAAATGTATTATTCTTTAAACTATTTTTATTTTACTGGTAATTTGTTGATAAATCTATGGTAAACTCGTGTAGATCCCCTTATAAATATAATCCATCTTGGAGCTCTCGGAATATGATTCCCTGCCACAATCTGATTTAGAGCCGGTGTACTTTTTTAAGAGTAAAATCCCCTTTGAAACCTTATCGGCAGCGCTTTCGGTTGTCTGTCTTTTCACCTATAAAAGCTGTTGTCTCTCTGGACTTAATCATCAGTCACTCAACAGGCACTCAGCAGCTTCAGCTAATTTTGCTATTTTTTAACTGAACAATAAATTAAATAAAACCACCATGAACTTCTACAAGATCTTCGTTTTCGTCGCCCTCATCCTGGCCATTACTGTGGGACAGTCGGAGGCTGGCTGGCTGAAGAAGATTGGCAAGAAAATTGTAAGTTTAATATTTAAAATATTTTAAGAATTATAATTAATATGATTTTCCTTATAGGAACGCGTTGGCCAGCACACTCGGGATGCCACAATCCAGGGTCTGGGAATCGCTCAGCAGGCTGCTAATGTTGCCGCCACTGCCAGAGGCTGAATTCAAGCACTGATCATCCGACTACAACTACCTATATTTAAAACCTTATTTATTTTATTTAAACATAAATTAATAAAACGTATGAAAATGTAATTTGCTATTATTTTTCTATTATTTAAAAGGCTTAACTCAAGTGGGAATTTGGGAATTTTCAATCAAAAGTCTCAAAGAAATTTGTTTAGTTACTTTGTTTAGCCCAAGAATATAAAATAAACAAGTACACAAAATAAGTATTTTAAAATCTACAATCTTTAATTTAAAAAACCCTTGAACCAAAACCAAACTGTACAAGTTGGGTACGGAAATCTTTTTTCAAGAAGCCAATATTTTATTTTGTAATCTGATTACTTTAACCAATATAATTTGTTTCTTTTATAAATATTATTTTGATCTTGCAAACAGAATATCCTTGCAAAGGCCAGAGGTGCAAAAAAGGATTTAAATGATCCAAAACTAATGAAAATATGCTTATGCAGGCTAATATGACTAAAATTTGTCCATGAATGTGTTTACGTTAATTAAAACAAATAATTAAATTACGTATTATTTTCTTTAAAATTGAACATACATATTATAGGGGAGAGTGGGGATAGGTGAACCACGGGGATAGATTTCTATATACAGCAGACCCTTACGTCGAATTGTTCAGACATAATAATGTTAATAAAAAAAAGTGGTTCACCTATCCCCACTCTCCCCTACATTTTGGAAACTATATTTTGACCACTAAAAAATAGTTTATTTCGAAACTAAATCATATACAATTTTAGTTTTATAAAATATATCTTCGCTTAGTTTAGACAATTGTCTTGAATTTAATGTTCACACTATTTAGTTTACTTATATTTAACTATTTATTCATTTTTTTTCGCTTAGTTTTAACTCAGAAAGTTATACTAGAATAATTTTAAGATACGATTTAAAATTGATTCTAACCCATAAAATAAAGCTACTTTATACAGCTCAGTCTTGTCAATAAATAAATTATAAAATATAATAAATTAATAAGAAAACCCCCAAAGTCTGAAAATGGTCACAGTTGTAAAAACTGATACCAAGCAGATTTGTTTCCTCTCGTGTACTTTTTCTGTGCAAAAATCCCCGTTTGTGCCTTATCTCTACGCTGTCTACAGGTTGTCTGTTTGCCTATAAAAGCCTGAGCCCTTTCTATCTCAATCATCAGTCGTTCAGTTCCCACTGCAACAGAAATATCAAAAGCATCAGCTTAAGCCTATTTCCCAGGAAAAAAAAACAAGAAATCTCACCATGAACTTCAAACAGATCTTCGTTCTCGTCGCCCTTATTATGGCCATCTGCTTGGGACAGTCCGAGGCTGGTTGGCTGAAGAAGATTGGCAAGAAAATTGTAAGTTCCTTAAAATCCTGAATTTTATTACTGGAAATAACGAATACTTTCCCTATAGGAACGTGTTGGCCAGCACACTCGGGATGCCACCATCCAAGGTCTGGGAATCGCTCAACAGGCAGCTAATGTTGCCGCCACAACCAGAGGCTAAAAATGATCCTGAATATATTTATAACTATTTTTAAGAAAACTTATTTATTTTAATTTGATAAATGCATTGAACCTGGTTAATAAAAAAACACTTAAATGAACATAATATATTTGCTTTTTTAAATTATTTGTTTTATGAACTTAAATATAATATTTATTGTATTATATTAACAAGAAAGAAAGCTAACTTTGGCCAGCCAAAGTTTGTATACCCTTTTAGGTAACAATTAAAATATATCATAACTAAGCCAAAAATGCATTAATTTCGATTCGGAAAGCAGTTTTGTGTTAGTTTTTATTAATTTAAAAAAACTGCATACCAAATTTAAAATTTTAAGAAATCAACATTTTTGGGCATTTTTGCTAATTTTAATGATGTAACCCCTTATAAAATTTTGCAAAAATGGCCAAAAAATCGATTTCTTCCGGACATGTCTAGAAAGATTCCCCTGTTGATGCTGATTAAGAATATATATGGTTTATGGGGTCGGAAATGATTCCTTGACTTAGAAAAATATTATTTTGTATTATAAAATCTGATTTTTTATATTAAAAAACTTCTTGATTTTTTTTAAATTAAAAATATCATAACTCGGCCAAAAGAGCATTAATTTTAAATCGGAAAACTGTTCTGTGCAAGATTTTCTACAGTTAATAAGTTTGCATACTTCATTTAAAAATTTTGAAAATTCAATTTATTATCAAAATCAAAAATTTTAATGATGTAACCCCTTATAAAATTTTGCAAAAATGGCAAAAAAATTGATTTCGTCCTGACATATCTCGAAAGATTCCCCTGTTGATGCTGATCAAGAATATATATACTTTATAGGGTCGGAAACGTCTCCTTCACTGCGTTGCAAACTTCTGACTGAAATTATAATACCCTGCAAGGGTATAAAAATGGGGATAACCATTAACATTCATAAAGTTATCACAAGCTCAAATTTAATTCTTAGCATGTTTTAGGGGTTAATTAAGTCGTTATAATTTAACATTTCAACATAGTTATATATATATTCATACAATGTCGACTTTTAAACAAAATTCTTAAATATTAAACATTGTTTTGTATGGTAGCTACTAAATTCCTTCTCTAAGTTCAAGACATTAACAACAAAATAGGTCGACTTCTCAGAAAATTGAGAGTGTTTCCCCTTAATCAAAAGAATATAAACCCCCTAAATCTTGATATGGATTTATTTAGTGTGATTCCTAATGAATTGGGCTCCTCTCGTGTTCTTTTTTAGGGAAAAATCCCCGATCATTTCTTATCTGCCTTTGCCTTTCGAGCTATGTTTCAGTTCAGCTATAAAAGCTGTAGCTCCTTACTATTCCAGCATCAGTCGTTCAGTACTCACTGCACAGCAATATCAAAAGGATCACTTCGAAACTCCTTCAAAACCAGGATTAATCCAGCTATATCATCATGAACTTCAATCAGATCTTCGTTTTTGTCGCCCTCATTATGGCCATCTGCTTGGGACAGTCTGAGGCTGGTTGGCTGAAGAAGATTGGGAAGAAACTGGTAAGTTTTTCCTTACAAAATATTTTGTATTTAAACTAATAGACATCCTTCTCCTCAGGAACGCGTTGGCCAGCACACTCGGGATGCCACTATCCAGGGTCTGGGAATCGCTCAACAGGCCGCCAATGTTGCAGCTACTGCCAGAGGATAATTTATGAATATACAATTTATACAATTAACTTATTTATTTTATTTAAATAACTTATTATTTAACTGTCAAAAATAAAAATGTATTTTAACTGAAAACATTTTAATGAAGTTAAATTATTAAATTAATCAAAATATTCTACTAAAGGGTATACAATCCTTGTTTACCAAAACGGTTTATCCAAAAGCAATACAAAAATTAGGTAAATTGTTTGATATCTAAAACATTCTTCTTTAAAATACATTTGAAATTTATTAGGAAAATTAAAAAATTTAGGAAATCCCTAGAAATATGAAAAGAAATAAGAAACTGTTTCTTATTTTATGTTTATTAAAATCATTCAACTTTTAATATAACAAAGTTGCGAATGTTTAAAAGTAAAAGGCTCTTCGCTCAGAACTATCAACCTTTTGTGCTTTTTTATTTTAATAAAATGACCAACTAAATACTATTTATTTTATTTTTATTGTATTTAAGCGAAAGTAAGTTGAGAATATAATATAAACAAGCGTTGAAAATTTTAATATTTGGCTTTGATATGCTCTTGTCTCAGTCATTGTTTCGATTTTAAGAGAAATTAAAATTGATATATATATATTTTTTTTAATTTTGTAATGAAGTTGTAGACTTAATTGGGAAATATTATTTATTTAAATATTAAGATTTTCAAATTTCCTTTAAAGAAAACCAAAAATTTATAATTTCTACTAACTAAATAATAATTTTTTCAAACATTTATGTCTTGTATCTCCAAAACATTAAAAAAAAAATATTAAAACAAAGATGTACAGAAATATTTTTGCTTGTTTTATTTGCTTAAATTTTTTGATTTTATAAAAATGAAATAACTAGGGCAGTCTGATCAGGTGCTGGAGCCCTATAATGTTCGACTTTTCGACTTTAAACGCGGGCTGTGGCTGCCACATTAGCAACTTCCTTCTGGCCACCTGAGAGGACCTGGGTTTTGATATTCAAAATGCTTTCGGGAATGAGATCCTATAGAGAAAATCATATTAATTATAATTCTTAAAATATTTTAAATAATATACTTACAAATGTCTCGCCAATCTTACCAAACAAACCAGCCTCGGACTGTCCCAAGCTGATGGCCAGGATGAGGGCGACAAATACAAAGATCATGTTAAAGTTCATGGTGAGATGGAATTGGTTTTGTTTTTTTTTTCTGGATTTTAAATGAAAGCTGATGCTGTTGCAGTAAGAACTGAACGACTGATGCTCGAAGCTCAAAGGGATTAAGCTTATATAGGAAGCCAGCAGGAAGAGATACTGAGATGCTGCAAGGTTGGAGATTTTTTTTTTTATTTGCTGGGACTAAAGTTCAGCAGATAGAGTTGGAAGAGTCATAGATAGGATGCTGGTACTTGGTGTTTCCAAAGTAATTAAAGAATTCAATGTCTTACGATGTAAGTCACTCAAAATTATAATAAAATATTTGCAATATTTTGGAATAATATCAATATATTCGGATCTAGATATAAGTCGTAATACGAATGCAAGTTTTTAAGATTATAAAGCTCTGACTTTATATTTTTTACATGGTTCTATATAAATATAATAAATATTAAATAAAACAAAGTAATAAATAAAAGAACAAACTACTTTTTTCACATATATATCTTTAAAATTTTTAGAAATATGTAAATTATTTTGACCAAACGTTTTTCATGAGTACTTCTCCTGTTGAGCATTCCTCAACTTAATCAATAAAAGTCAAGATGCCAATTCTTTCTCCACCCTTCGTTGGCTTATCAACAACACTCAAGGATTCTGTCTGGATGGTTTTTCTATATAATTCAGTTTATTATTAGTTCGGTTATCAGCAGCTTAAGTATCACACAACAAAGGCTATACACAAGGGTCAACAACTTGCACTTTTTTTTAATAAAGGAATAAACCACAAATTGTATTGTAAACTTTTACATTATTAAAATCTTTGTCGGGATTATACTGGGAATTCGCAGATTTGAAAATATAATATCCTTAACTATTAAAATAAAGGGGAAAATTGATTACAAATACAAATTCATATTTAGCAAAGCTCTTTAGTTAAGTTGTTCTCTTAAGTCTTTGCTAACAAAAACAATATTTTATTTTATTAAGCTAGCATATAATAATTGAAAGTAAACCCAAAATCTTTAAAATTATAGAACATAGCAACCAAGAACTTTGCAATTTCCTGAACTCAAGAAATCCCCTTTGTCAACATGGCTTTGACATTACCATAAAGTAAACCACATTTGTCTATAATCTCCTGATTCAAACATAATTAATTTAAATAGTTTTTGGGTGCGCAACAAAGCAAAGAACAAAAAAAAATACCCCTTAACCCATAAAAAGTCCGGGAAATAACGCCAAACATTCGAGCGGCAAGCGAAATGAATTAATCAGCAAACACGTTTGACTCGGCTTCCCCCATAAAAAAACAGAAAAGCAAAAACAAAAAGCAAAACACAACAAATGCGAATTACTCAATGGGTTGAACGATCCGTAGAATTGAGCTTCCGATCTACTGACACATACGCAATACCTCGAACTAGACTTAATTAATGACTTGGAGAAATGTTAGTCAACAGCTGGCAACTATCAATGGACTGTCTTCGTTAAGAAAAGTCCCTTGGGTGATCTTTGCTTAATTAGGACTTGTAATACTTGTAATAAAAAATATACAACTATAACGATAAGATAAGTTTTACTACAACTTAGTTTTATGAATGGAATTTCTCTCGTGTGAATTTTGTTTCTGTAAACAAAAAAAGCACAGAACTGAGTGATCCCAGTGATCCCACAGAAATGGGAACCCGCACTCAAGTCATATAGATCCGATGACGCTTTGTCATTATGATTCAAGTGATCGATCAAGCTTGAGGGCTGAGCGGAAGGCAAACCTGATTCTTTCTTCTGGCTATTTATTTGCTGTATATACATATTTTTTTATATATGTAGCAGTTTCTTTATCAGCAGCTCTCTCGTTTATCAATTTGTGAATCCCAGGGAAAAAGTTCCCCCATCTGCTGATTACTTCCCTATCTGCAGGGCAAGGCAAGGCCAAGATGCTCAAACATTGAGCGCTCAGGCATTGTCTCCAGGTGGTCTTGGCTTTGGGTAATCAATCAGAGGCGGGAATTTAGGTTTCAGGGAAAGCCTGTTTACTGGATTAGTCATATTCTGCTGGGGTTTTACCTTTAAAGGGTAGTAAAAATATATGAAATATATTTTATATTTTACAAACTATAAACTAGACTATAGACAGGCTTTTTTAATACCCCCAAATACCCATCTAAAATTTGTAAAATAAAAGTTAACCTATCCCTGAAACCTAAGATAATTTATAGCTCTCCCTGATAGAGTACAAGCTTCCTGCTCCCTCTACTTTTTGTAGTTGAGTAGTTGAGCATCTTTCCAGTACCAGTTGCGGCATTTACTGACTTACTCACGCTCCTGTGGGCTCTATCAACTTAATACCCAAGGATGAGCTCAAGAACGGGTATGAGAATGAGTCTAAAGCTGAGGATGTGGTCTCGTCCTGGCTGTTATGACGCAGGACTCGCTCCCTCCTGGTTTTTGTGTGTCTCCGGCTGCCACTTGTAGCTGTCACTCAGCGGTTAATTCGAGCGATTTTATTTACATTTTGCAAGGGCAACAGAACCGGAAAGGAGCAACAACGAGGCAAAGTCAGGGCCCCAAGATGAATAAAGCGTTTTTACTTGTTAAGGAAATTAGTGGCATATCCTGACAAGGCGCATATCATCCTCGGTGCTTTCTAGTCTCTATTTACCCGACTCCTGCACCCCCAAAAAATATATGTGTTTTCTGTCTCCCTGCTGATTTAATTCATTTGTTGTCTTTGCTGCGAGTCTATTGTCTGCCCCTCTTCTTGTTGGTTTTTTATGGTTGAAATTAAAGTTACATTTATGTGGTGGTGGTTGTATATTATTATGTGTCGATGCCCGAGGCCATCCATCCCCCTCTTAAAGGATCAAGTACAGTTGCGGCAGTGGTTTAATCTGGTTTTTACAGTTTATAAGTTTATAGTTTTAATGGTTATTTAAAATTAATGAAACGGAAGGTTAGTTTGAAATTTAGTTCATTATGTATTTAAGATTGGTTTTATTGAAAAAATAGCTTAAACTTGTAATAAAAATTAGTCAGGAGTTGAGAAAGCTGCTTTACTCTGGCACTTTGACTTGAATGATATTTTTTAAATTTTGAAATTTTAGTAATAATTTTAACTAATATTTTTCAAGTAATAACATTTTCCTATTTCAACCTTTCTAACTTTTCTCAATCCATAATTTGATGTCTATTAAATCTATATATTTATTGGCAGCTGCTCAAACAGATAACCGAAGAAAGTCTTCTTTATTATTTAGCTGGGGATCCACTTTTTATATTTTCCATTATGTAGGCAAGAAAAATCCCCTTCGTATCATCAGGCATTGTCTTTGCTATAAAAGCGCTGTCTCTTCCAAGTCCAGTCATCAGTCGCTTTCTGTTCCCACAGCCAACAGCCATATCCACAGCTTTAGTGCTTCCAATAATTCAGGAATAATATCCATCATGAACTTCAACAAGATCTTCGTTTTTGTGGCCCTCATCCTGGCCATTAGCTTGGGCCAGTCGGAGGCAGGTTGGCTTAAGAAGCTTGGCAAGAGGATTGTAAGTTGAAATTTTTTTAATAAAATATATTTGATTACTTAAACTTACCACCGTTTTATAATTTCAGGAACGCATTGGACAGCACACTCGTGATGCCACCATCCAAGCCCTGGGAATTGCTCAACAGGCCGCCAATGTGGCAGCCACTGCCAGAGGTTGAGGATGAAATATCCTTGAGAGAACTCTCCTAGGATAACCTGCTTAATTATAAACACTTATTTATTTGCAATCACATAGAAATAAACCATGTTAGAATTTACAACCCCGTAATTTACATATGTGTCTTCTATTTTTTTATTGGGCTTGATTACACTTTCCCAGGGTGGATGTTGCATTATGGGTTTTCCCACAGTTTTCCCGGGCTGGCGGCAAGTGTAAGGGCTCCCCTGGGCCATAGACCTTGTGCTCTACGGGTCCACCTCTTGTTGGTGGTCATTTCAGGGGCACAAAACGCGTTTAAATGTCAAAACACTTGTGAGAATGAACCTTTTCTGGGGCGGAAGTTGAAGTTGAAATGGGTCTTTGCCCTTGGCCCATGTGTGCTGTGTGTGTGTTGTGTTTTGTGTGTTCGGCTGGTAATTTGCTTTGATTTACTTACATGAGCGGAGGTCGCGACACGTGACCGCAGAGTTTACATTAAATTATCGGAGCTCCTTGTGAAAATGATTATACAAGTTTTCGCGAAAAGAAAACATAGAGAGTGGGGGTAATGAGATTGAAATATTCTCGGAGGATCAAACTACTTGAAAATTAGAGTTTTTGAAAGTATTTTTTGTAATTTAAATTAAAGATTTATTGATATACATTCTGATGTGAATTTTATAAGATTTTATTCGTTAGTTTTCTTCCTATTTCAAGGCTTTTAAATTTTCTTTGAAATTCGATTTTAAAAAACCGCATCCAAATCAAATTTAAAGACACTTCCGTTGTCGCCCTTTGGCTGAGGCCTAATTACATGGCATCTCCATCGGATTAGGCCAACTCGCCTGGGAAATCGACAGCTTGGGCCGCCAATCGAGGAACTCGACGCCTCCGGCTGAAAAGCGCTAAAAGCCAGAGCACATGGTCTGAATTATTGACAGATTAGAATGGCATCATCCTTCGTTCTGCCGCCAGTCAATCATTATCATTCGAAAATCCAACTCAGGGCGGAGTAGGAGGAGATTGTGACGCGGAAGCCACCTTGGCAGCTGCCAAATGATTTGAATAACAATAAAGATCAGCTTTTGTCTGTCGGCTGTATTTTGTAATTTATGCATTGATTTCCTCTCGCAGTAATAATCATTTTGAAATTACATAAAAAGGAGACTGGCTTTTACCGCCCGCCCGTTGCGCGGAGATTGTAAAATTTGAAAATTTCATAAGCACAAATCCCGGAAAAATCATGCGTAAGCCCCTCGAACAGCACTCGAGAATCTGTTGGTAAAAATTGTAATGTGCGTCGCAGCTTCTAATAGGGGAATATATACTATATGACTGGCACCCTGCTAGGCTTCCCCCTCTTGAAATCCCACTCCTCCTCCTCTCTCCTCTTCAGAAATCGTTTACAAGCCATTGAGAAGCCGCCGATGTATCAATAATATTTGCTAAGCGAGTTCAAAGGTGGTGAAAGTTGTTTTAAAAAATATTACACGCAGATGGGCCACTCGAGTGCAAAGAATAATGTTTGACTTAATTTCTTTTATGGCTCAATATAACCATTATTTGCACTACTAACAGCATAATCAGCAAATTTAAATTCAATTCGCCTTCGAGGGGAGTTTAAAGTTGGGCGGGGGGAAAAAGGGGCGTTGCCAGGCGAGTGTCAAATGCAGTCAACCATTTTCTCAGTCCTATTTGAAAAGTAAATTGTGGTTTCACTTTCTGCTTGAGGATGGTTTTACTGCCTTTTCTCTGTGCGACAATTTATCATATTTAAAATGTCATAATCTGTGTGTGGGGGGTATTTTTTTATAGTAATGTCAGGGAGCGTAAGAAATGAAAATGTACTTAATTTTGAGTGCAAGATATGATAGGGAAGGTTGAGTGTCAAGTTTAAAATATTTCTAAGAAAATATTATATTTATATCAAAGGAAAATAGATTTAAAAAATAATTTTTAAAGACTTTAAGAATGTAACTAATTTAAGACGAACTTTCTTGGAATTTTACAAGGAAAATAACTGAAAGTTGAACTGTCATTATAGTTAAAAAGTGCTTTAAATGTTTAAATGTACCTCTTATAAATTTAAGAATAGTACAATAAAAACTATTCTTACAAAAATAAAGAACTTATATCAGATTTACTAAGAAAAAATTGTCCTTGCGCCTCAAAGTATGCAAAGCCTTTATGCCTTAAAGGCCGTGTATGTCATGGTAGTTTGATTTTTTAATTTTTCTTTATAAATATAATATTAAATATTGTGAAAATGTAAATCAAGTTCAAAATACTTTAAGCTAAAAAGAAAAATAAATAAATACATTGATTTCACAGCTTGTTAGTTCACTTTCTCATCATCATCAACTCGGCAATGCAATCAGAGTGAAGGTCCTCTATCGAGACAGTCGCTTTGATTCCATTTCCAGTACTCAGACGGCATTCTAAACGCGTTATAAATCACACAGATAGACAGAAACGAGACACACATGAGCACACACCAGCATCCATATTGGATGGTTTTCTATTTTTTATTTGGTTTTGTGGAGCAAAGCGAAACAAGAGCAGCTCTTGCCGGGGCGAGAACAATGCAAAACAATTCAATTTATGAAATATTTTCCCCCAAACTCCCTTTTTGCACTCGTTGTCTATGCCGCAAATAAATACGAGAGAGAGAATATAGAGTTTGCCGGGAAAATGTGATGTCGGGAATTACATCTCATACGCAATTTGGGAATCCCTTGCCCTTGGACAAGATTTATTGCCAGCTTGACGATTAACAAAGGTGGACCCTGGAACTGGCTCGGGATGTGACCCCCTCTTTGGATGTGTGTGTGTGTCACCCTTAACCCCTCACCCCTTTCGAACAATTTAATAAACAGGCTAACAACAATGGCAGCGCTTTTGGGTGCCTTTTTGAGGACAAAAACGAAATGAAATTGTTTGTCCCAACGACGACATCTCTCATGTAGGCATTTTTTATTGTGTTGTGCATCCTGAGTCCTTGCCATTGAACCGAGGTCCTGTCAGCGCATAACTTTTCCCGGGGCAATAAAATCTATTCAATTGTTGCCAGCTTCCAGGCGACTGAGTGCCAATGAGATCCTTTCCGATCAGATCGCGTGAGGATAGATAGGACACAGCAGTGCCAGGAATTCCACTTAGGAATATGAATATGAATGAAATCAATGGATGGTTGAAGTTGAATTTAAGGAAAGGAGGTGTTGCCTCCACAATGAAATGCGTCACAACTGGCTGACCTTATGGACTCACGGGGTTTTTTATTAAAAATATTATTAGGAATTTTTTAGAGGAAAAAATTTGAAGGATAAAAGTTGAAAGTGGAAATCTATACTTTTTCAACATTTTAAACAACTTTTTTTCATGAAAACTGCTTCAGTTTTTATACAACTTTTCCCCTTTTTGGAATGTTAACTCATATAATTTTAATTTACAATCGTAGTTAATGAGCAGAATGTCTCTAAAAATCTGAAAGCTTACAGCTATAAATTACAAACTACTTTTACAAGCTGAATGGTAATAAATATCAGTTAAAGGGTTGTAAAAGGATTTATGGGAAAAAGCTAAATAAAAGGGCAAACATAATAATTTCAACTGAGTAACTACATTAACAGAGTCAAGAAAAAATAAATCTGTAATAAAATATCTATTTATAAAATGTTGATTATATTTTAGTTATTTATTTCCTATGCTCTAACTTCTTAAGAACATTTCTAACCACAATATTTAGAACAAATTTCCTCTGAAACAATTTTCATTAATTAATTCCCGCCAAGATAATAAACGAACAATCCAATTAAAACTGGCTTCGCACGCAAAATCTTTTGACTTTCAATTAATAACAATTTGACGCCTCAGCAGCTCCTTCTTCCAGCAGCCAGGACCTCCTTCCAAATCCCATGGCCTCAATGCGGAGATAAAAGATAAAAGAAATGAAGGCGCTCGGCCCGAAAGGGACATTTCCGTCTGACAGGCACACGTCAGATTCTGGCGAGGCGTAAATTAATCTCGATTCCTGGCAGCGGAGTGGCGAAAAAATTATTAATGAGACGCATGTGTGAGTGGGAAAATTTCTTAATAAAAAAAAACGAAGGAAAATGGTTGCAAACGCAACAGGGCGAGCGACCCTCATTAACGGGAAATTAGTTTTGCTCTGATTTCTGTCATCTCGCAGGATGTGGATTTTCTGGGTTTTCCCTTCTAACAATGGAGGATATTTTTCTTTTTTTCGGCCAGGATTAAATGCGGAAATGAGGCAAACACCAGGTTCTGCCGGTCGGACGCTCGGTCGGTGACACTTTGGCGATTAGCGCAAATCAAAGAAAAGAAAAAGCGATTTCTAGGTGTCGCAATTGCAGGAAATTAGTCGGCCAAAAACAGGGACAACGAACCAACGGTCGTCCAGGACGAACAATAGATCTGGAGGATTAAGTTCTGGACGAATTTCATTTGAATTAATTTGCGGCACTCAAGTGGCACACATAAATCCTCTTCCCTTCGGCCGAGCATTATGTAAATGTGAACTCTTGTCCTGTTCTGGTCCTGTGTTGAGTCCTTTGCTGGTCTGGTTATAGTTGAGAGGGCACTGGGGGAAAAAGGAATGATTTAGATTCTAGATAAAGGTAACTTAACACTATTAAAAAAGCATTATACAAAAATAAAGCTTTAGCTTTTAAAAATATTTGAATTTTGCTTAAAAAAATAATATATTAGTATTTTATATAAATTTCTCTCAGTGCCTCCAGAGGGCGAGTGTATTGTTTGGCCACCTTTTGAGTGCACTTAATTATGCGTGAATCTTGCAGTGAATTTTCTCCAAATTTTCCCAACATTTCTGCCTCATTTTACACCAAATTTGCTGCGATTATTCTCCACTCTTTATGCTGCTGTCAGAGCCAGGTACAGTCTTACCCTAGGTACAGTCGTGCCCGCTCCGAATGGACCCCAATTATTCGATGACTCCTGCTCTATATATAGAGTTTCATTCGCATTTTTCAATTACCTACCAATCTAGGTCTCAGTTTACGCTTTCTTTGCCCATCATCTGCCCATCCACTTCACATTGTTTGTCCTGCCTGTTGTTTGCTTTATTGATATGTTGTCGTTGCCGTCCT